TACAGACACATAAAGTGCGAGAAGCGGACTAAACCGCCCAACCATCCAATCCAAAGCCACCCAACCACCCAACCTCAGACTCAGATCCGTTCACCCAGTACTATAATGCCATCATGTGGTCAGGTGCTCCGCCAAATGAACACACACGTGCAAACACGGAAACTTACACGGCTTTTACACCTTTCACATTCCGTTTTTATTTAATTTGGCGCCCATCAGACCAAATATGTACTCGGATGTGTAAGTTGGTGTGATGGGATATAATGGATAAAGAGTTCCGTGGAGCTTATGTTAGAAAAGACAATAGTTAATTTAAACTTTATATCATTTGTTTAAAAATATTTTATTTTAAATTAACCTGAACTGAAGATTTCACAATCCACATTCAAAGACATTCCGTGTTTTACCTGCCGTTCCACCAACCAGAATCTTTCATGAACACAATTTTGTCTAATCGCTTTTCAACGGCACTCCTTCCCGGAAATTTCCAGCGCACTACCCCATTTTCCGTATATAAAATTCAATTACCATCTGCCCCTTTCATGTTCGGCGGGTGCAGTTAAAAAATACAACCGAAAAGAACTGAAATAACAACTTTTTATCAATTCCCGCACATGCCAGCCCACAAAGAGAACTCCATATCCACCTGCTATGGTTCACCCCTCACTCTGTTTTCGTTTCATTTTATTAAATTTTTTGTGATTGCATTTGCTCGCGGGTTATGCTGATTGCGCTTTTAGTGCCGTACGAACTACAATCAAAACAAATTGCCGCCGTAAAATGTGTGTGCGTGTTAATATTTAATTAAACCAAAAGTAATTTGCTCATTTAAAATTATTTCAGAGCCATATTGGTGTAATTAAATCGTTGAGTAAATTTGCATAACACAAGGGCTGGGCAGCAAATTTATTGTGGACACCCGCGTATCTTTCATCTACTTTTATCCATTTGCCATTCCTCAAGCTGTCCAAAGAAATTTGCCGAGACGCAAGTCAAGCAAACAAAACACAGGGCTTGGCAGCAAATCGCAAGTCACACAAAAAACAAACAAGAGAAGGAAATTGTAAAATTCTAAAGAGGGAAGCAAAAACGCTACAAATTTATGGAGTCCACAATGGGCAAATGGAAATTTAGAAAGTGAACCGAAAACTGCTCTTCAAATGGGGTTTGAAATTCCTTTTAGGTGTACATTTAAAATTAAATAAATAATAAATTCAAGCTTTCAACTCATCTTAAATAAACAAAGTTAGCAAGATTTCTTCCATGTAATATTGGTATAACTTCAGAAACCAAGTTTAAACAAAAATCTCAGCAGCTTTTGCATGTTATTTAAGGGTATCCTTCAGGCTTAGTCAACCCGTTCGTTCTGGCTAAATTTGCACAATGCTAATACACCATTTGTCAGGTCATTTAATGGTCTCTGGTCCAAGTCCTAGAAAGGACACGACTCGCTGTCTGGGGTCAGCCCCAATGTTGTACGAATGGTTTTTATCTATGTCGCCCCTTTTATTTATGCACCCAATTGCAATCCAACCACTTCAACCCCACGAGTGTCTACTTTTTGTGCAACTTAATTAAATTAGAAGAAGTGGAAAAACACTTCAGAGTGTAGAATGCCGCATTAGACAATTGGCTGGCATCCCAAAGAAAGCTGAACCATTTATCAAAAATCTGTATATGCTTTTTCTTGCCTCTTTCATTTATTTATGTACCGACTTTATCTATCAAATCGAAATCAAATCACCTTGAACCCCGGGGCTGAATGATTAAATGAAAATTTGTCAGGGGCATCTGCTGCCGCTTGAGCCTCAACGCAAACACTATTAATTTCGGGACAACAACGGATGGAAGTAGGAAGCCACTTCGTCCCCTTCATCGTCCCCTTTTCCGCCATTCTCGTTTTATCGACTAAGCCGCACATGTGCGGCGTTTTTGCCCGAAAACTTAGCCAGGCACGTTAAAATTTAAGCCCGTTTGACATTTTGACAGCGGTTGCACTTTAAGAAATTTCTAGGCCGGCGAATTTTTAAGTCACTATAGGAAATACATTTTAGAAGGATATTTTTGTAGAGTGTATATGGGCATGAGAAGTAGTGAAAAGCAGTAGCATCTAAAGGAGGTGAACTGCAACGACGTCAGTACCTCCATCCATGTCTATGTCCCTGTCTATATGTGTTTTTGTGTGCATTGTCGTGCCGTGGCCATGAATATTTAATGAAATTAGCTTAGGAATCTTACAACATTTTGCCGCGTTTTCTCTGCGACACTGGCGACCCACGTGCTTGCACTGGAATTCGTAGTGGTGGAAAGCCGGGGAAATGGTGGTGAAGCCACGATGCTTGCGACGCCCACAAATATGCAAGGATAATGACGCTAAAGAGTTTCTAGGCGAAGGATGAGACACAGTGCAGTCAGCTTACCCAATTTTATGTAGTTTTTATGACGTGCCATTTGTAGGTAAAAAAACCTAATTAAACTGCATACTAAATTAACAATTTCCCAATCAAACCCAAAACGAAACCATGATGTTGCCAAATAAGCATATATCCATGTTTGTTCAGTATACATAACTAACAAAGCAATTTCAGATGCATTTCAATATGTAGCCGGAAAGCGTTTCCAATAAATTTTCATGCTGCGAAAGCAGCCATGAATAAATGGAAAATTGCGGAGCGAAATGTTAGGCTAGAAGCCCCATTCGCGGCATGCAACGCATTTTGCGTTAAGTCAATACAGAAATGCCACCGCCGCCAGCATAAATCATATATGGCAAAAGTGTAGTAGATCAGCTAGTATGTGAACACGGGGGGTCCCGGAAAATGGAAAGGGGCGATAAGCTCTCCATATTGAAACAGATGCTGCAACTGAAAGTGTTCGATGGCAAGAAGATGACTCCCTGTGGAAGCCATTGCAAACGGAAAATATGTGGCATATCAACTTACTTAGTATGGAATATGAACATTTTCGTAGTACTTATGATAATCCCCACTGCTTTAAATAAATGAAATCAAATAAAATTCTTTAAAAGGTAAATATCCATTAAATAACGACTTTGAGCCTCGCATAAACGAACTTTCGGGCTGATTTTCTAGATCTTGGCTGCAGTCGTGGGAGGTCCTGGGTACATAAGTATACAAGAAAAATGAGTTCACTTATTGTTAGTTTCGCCCCGTTATCCTTGCACTTGCAGGCAGCTCCTGCGGTTGCGCCTGCTGCTGTTGACACGAAAAAAGTATATAGGAGGCCCCCCTGTCGACAATTGTATGAAAGCAATATAATAATACTACAGGCTGCACATAATGATACAGGGGCAATGGCAAAACGACAAAATGGATGAAAGTGGGGGAAAAGTGGGCGGGAAAGACTCTGATGATTATGAGCATGTCGCGTTACTGGCAAAACAACAACAAAATCTAAAGGCATTGAAAGATAGAAATACAGTCAATATATATTCTCCATACCCTGTAGACATTTCAGTAGGGTTTGTGGTAATTTTGAAAGTAAAATGGTTATAAAATAGAGGAACTACAAAACTTTTGAGAACTGATTTCTGATGGAAAATTTTTGCGCTTTTAAAAATTTATATTTAGATGAAAATATGTAGCTTTTTTTCACATTTTTATGTAGTTTTAGGATGACCGAATATTCTATCATGGCATTTCGCATCCTGAAAAACCTATTTACGCGTTCTCGAAAGGCCACTCAAGGACAAAGGACAAAAGCTACAAAATGGCGGGGAGTCCTCGCTCACCCCTGAGCACATAATAATGGTTATATCTTTAGAAGCTCCAGTGCCTCGGAATTTCGCTCTTCGCCTGAACTTGACTTGAGGACATTTGGCCGCATTTGGCGTGCAAATCAAAATTTCATAGGCAGCCAACGAAGGGAGGGAAGCTAGTGGAATGGGTGGGGAAAAGTGGAAAACTTTAAGATAGAGGAAAGTAATTTCACGTTGAGCGACAAGTGGCAAGGTAATTTATCAAGAGCAAAACAAACCTGTCAAGAGCGAAAGTTCCTCAGGCAGACACGCGACATTGGTTGGGGTCTTCCAACCACCCACCGAACCGCCCACCCACTCACGAATCACCCACGTGGTGGGTCATAAAAAATGTATTACCAAGTTGGTTCGAGCTGCACATATCGACGAGAGACGCGAGCCAAAAACCTCGAGAAAAATGTGGCTCATTTCGAGCACGGACTTTTCCTGGTCACTGAGAAATGGCTTCACTCCTTCACCGCTTTCCGGAACTTTAATCCCTTGATTGGGATTGAGGGCTCCTTGGATTTTTATGGTCCTACATCGTAATAGCGTGCAGATTGGCCCATGAGCAAAATATCTTCATTGTTGCGGGCGCGGCGAGCGGAAGGCACTCAAGTAATTCATTCATTAGCCTGATGGACGGGATTCAGAGAAGGGTCTTGGGAGAAAAAAATAAGCAAAGTCCATACTTGCTGTTTATTCATAGAAGTCTGATGAATACCATACCATATTAAAGTGTTTTAAAGTAGAAAAAAATATTTGTTCAGAGCTTACAAAAATTCAACCCATCCTCTAACTCTTTTCTTAGTTTTTCAAACCTTTCGATTTTTTGCTTTCTTTACGACAAGCCCCCAAATCTCTTCCATTTCCGCATTTTATCCGACTTGATTGTACCTTCTTGGCATAACTGTTTTTATGGCTCTACGAAATTTCGTTTTGCTCCATACAACTCCCGTTCAATTTTACACATCATAAAATATCGTGGGGAATCGATTCCTTTTGCAATCCAAAGAAATCAATGCGAGTCCACAGAACGTGCATAATTTATACAAACGAGGGGAAATCAACCCACTGAATCCACCCAAAGGATAACATCCAACCACCCACACACAAGCAATAAAATAAAAACCAAATTGACAAACATTTGCCGTGGGAAAGTGGAAGTCGAAAAGGAGCAGCAACCACCATCTGTTCGTAAATAAATAATTTCGCAATAAAATTAAGAGCCCAGCTTTCCTACCTTTGCCATAATCGTTGTTTGCTGATAAGAAAATTCCCAGGTGAAAGAAGCCGACGGCTTTCCGTTTTATTTTTTTTTTTTTTTTTTTTGGCCACAAAACGCAAAGCGAAAAATTGTTTTGTTTTGTAATTAATTATAGATAATAGCTTTGCCCAGGTTGAACTATTAATATTAACATTTATTTTTCACAAATTTCACTTTATATCGGTTTTCGTAAATTGTAACGGTAAAACGAAGACGCACACAGGCACAAGCACACAAACTAAGCTTAAAATAAATTTTTGTTTCATGAATATTGGGTTTATATATAATTAAATTCACTTGGTTGTTATACTTTTTTAAAGATTTTTTGCACGTTTTTTAGTTATTGTTTAAAATAATTCATTTGCGGATGAGCATTTTGCGAAGACACATCCTACAAAAATTTCGATCCGTTTTTCACCGCGACAAAAGAGTATTAACTGAAAGAAGACCCTAACTTAAAGCTGGCATTTCGAGCGATTATGCCATCGATGTATCGATATAAACGATGGTTCCGAGTCCCGCTAAAATCTAGCAATGACTCAACCCAAAAAAATATTAAAATTTCTTAAGCTCATTAAAATAAGTGTATTTAAAAATGTTTAAATTTACAAAAAGTGAAACACAGTATTTTCGGTCCAACGAGTCATCTGTATAAGCTGTTTTGAGAATTAAACCATCCAGCTATTACCGCATAACATACGGCAAATAAAATTCTTGTTTGCCCCTGCAGATTGCTTTCATTTTCTTTTTGTTTTCCAAAGTTCCATAGTTAAATTATAAGTACCTATACGAATAGGGTAATCATTTTAGCTAATTTCGCATTCATATTACAATTAAAGCTGTTTTATTAACTACTTCCGTCGTTCGTTTAACAACAAAGATTTTGATCCACTTAACGAACTGGCACCCAACTCTCGAGGACGTCGCCGTACTTTTTGCGATCTGAAACAAATATTTGGCTTATTTCATCTTTCCAAAGGCTTTAAATCCTTTATAGGACTCACCCTTCACGGGGAAATCGTCGGGATGCAGTTCAATGTAGTGCCGGAGGACGGCATCTCTTTTGGCCAAATAATCGTTTCTTTTCTGGTCGAAATAGGATCCTGCGCCGACGCCAAGGACTCCAAAGGCAATATGCTTCTGGATGCCTGCGAATTGTAGGGATTTTATTAGTTAAATTCGACAAAAACAATGTTACGTCACATGGAACCGCAGCGAGAACTCACCGGAAAACACGGGCCTACGGAATCCCCAGTTGACAAAAATGGCCACGCCGACTCCAGCCAGTCCGCAGGCTAGGGGATTCCATATCGGCGACAAGAAAGACGACTGGCGGTTGCCTTTATTTGTCAATAATTCCAGTGGATCGTTCACAGCGCTCATGTTGATAGGAAAAAAACAATAGAGGTGACAGTGTTGCCAGATGGTATAATGACTTTTTACCCAGATGTTCTAAAAAATCCAGCTTTCCTGCTAGATCCGCATCACTGGCCAGTCTTTTCATTCACCTAATAAAACAAGGGTTGAAATCTTGGTCTTGATCTAAAAATATAGGACTCTTTAAACATTTAAATCAAAACCAGAACTTGTTTTCCGAGTTATTGTAAGTATTTTATATAATAAAATTGATCTCACTGAAAATATATTTTTTGTTGGTTTATTTTTCATTTATATACTTTTTATTACAATATTCTGTTAAACATTAAGTGGCATGCAAGGCGAGATTAAGGCAATTTATAGCATTTTGTGGTGGCTGTTCATAAATTTGGTAAACTTTAAGGCAAATATTTTAGTTTCTTTCGTTCGGTATTCATATAAATATTGGGTATTTTCACATTTAAATTTGTTTGCTCTACTTTCCGTTAAAGAACCATGTAAAATATCAAACAGGCACATGTATTACATTAGTTTTTAGATAAGGCCGTATCTTGCCGAAGCATCTAATATACAGCTAAATGTACATTTCATATTATTATACTTTTTATTGAAATACGCGTGGGTCTTGCACACTCTTGATAAAAAAATAACAAATCAAAAATAAATCAAAAACGAAGGGTTATTTTAAAATTAAGCATTTAATTTGTTGTAATTTTTATTATCTTCTAATGATGTTTCGGCACACATTCTTTATTTCAAAACAAAACCAAAGGAAAACATAAAACTACGAAAATTCTAGTGTACGATTATGTTATAAAAATTATACATGTATATTTATATAAAAAAAGTTTCTTTCTTTTTACTCCTCACTCCTCGTCTAAATGTATTTATTTACTTAACATAACAAAAGATCATTGTTTGGAAAATTAACTGATTCAATAGGTTTTCCACTCTTAAGGTTTGATTATTTTTTTGATTTTAGTTTTATACCTTTTGTATTTTGTAACTTAAAATTAGTTAAACCATAGATTTAAATCAACTACTGAACATTTAATTTGTTGATCAAAGGCAAACCGCAAATGAGAAGTAATAAAACATAAACTACGGTTTATAAAAATCATTTCAAGAAATGTATTGCAATAAGTTCTGTTTCATATCCCTATGTAAATTTCTTGTCGCTTATATATTTAGAGTTGGTAGGATTAATTAAAAGTGTTTGTTTTATATTTAAAGCATTCTTGCAATGACACATAATTAGCACTTGAAATAGACTTGAACGACAGCTGTTTGCCAATGGGCATAGATCATTATTATAATAGCATGTAGATCATTGTAAATAGTTGCACCACTCCGCAGGTGGTTCCTCAGCTCGTTGTTGCTTCTTCTGTTGCACTCTGCTTTAGCGTTAGGAATGACGTTCGCATAGAAAATCATACGATAAACTATAAAATATGGGCAAAGGGCGGGGTGTTGGTGTTGGAGGGGCTTGCGCACATCCATTCAAATCTGCAGATGAGTCGCCTCTCCGTTGTCCTGTGATCTCTACGTCTTTTTCGCACTTGGCTTTCGCTCGCACTCACGCACTCATTTAGCTACTGGTTTCGTTTCGTTACCACGTCTTACCACTTCCGCTCGAGGAGCTCGCCTCGCCTCGTCTTAAGCTTAGGATACCGAACTAATTGCATTATGCGGCGAGCCCATCTGCGTGAGCACCTTGTCCAGCCACTGGAGCGGCCCGTGCAGGTGGATCTCGATCCAGCAGGGCGTCGAGGTGACGTCCTGGCGGTGGTACTCCGCCCCCCAGCCCTTCACGAACGACATCCGGATCGTGCACATCTTGGTGAGCTCGTAGACGGCCTCGAATCCGTTGTTCACCGACTGCGACAGCAGCTGAGCAAACTCCTGGTTGTTGAAGATCTTCAGCGAGCAGCCCGGCGGGATCTTGCACACGGTGCTCGGATGGAATCCGTGGTGGTAGTTGCAGTTGCGCGACTGCACGAAGATGGCGGAGTCGGACAGGCACTCGGCGTACACCTCGCCGGTCACATAGTACAGATGGACGCCCTTGCCTGCGGGAGGTACAGAGAAGTATAGAGATTACCTACTCCATTCATTTAATTGATAAGCAGCACTCTTCATATTCTAATTTAAGACCATTCATAATACATTCTAGCTGAGTTATTGGCCACTTTAAGTGGCCTTCTTATCACAAATTCGTATGAATGGCATTAAATAATATTACCTACCTATATGACGGCGTGTGTTCTCGATGGTGCTGTTCCTGTTCACGTTGCTCAGCTGGCCGAGGCAGCAGCGGTCCGAGTTGTTGGACGGATTCGTGAAGCCGTCGACGATCACCGAGTTGTTGTTGCAGTGGAACACCTCGCCCACGCGGCAGTTGAGCTCGTAGTATGCGATCGAGGCCCAGAAGGCGGGCTCCGCGTAGCTGACCTGGGCCACGTCGCCCATCGGGGCGTCGAGCAGCTGGCCGCCGTCATTGGGGTTGTTGGAGTTGCCGTCCTCCGAGGGACTGTAGGCGGGCGGCGGTGTGCCCGCCAGGCTGTCGTACGGCGAGTTCGGGTTGGAGTTCACGGAACTGGGGCTGCCCACCGACGTGTTGCTGGTGCTCAGGCTGTGCGAGTTGAAGCCGCTGTTCGAGTAGCTCACGTTGTGCGGCATGCTGGGCTCGGCCACGTGGTTGAACTGCAGCATCGAGTGGCCGGGCGCGAACTCCGAGTGGCGGGGCACGAGCACCGGCGGCAGCACCGGGCTCTCCACGCGCTTGTAGTGGTACGGATTGATGCACACCTCCTTCTGCTTTGCGCTGAAGGGGTACTGGCAGAGCTCCAATGGCTTCAGTTCGTGGTGCGACTGCAGATCCGGCCAGCGCCACACGCGGCAGTAGATCACATGCGGCAGTCCCTTGCGATGAGAGACCTTTAAAAGAGAGTGAGCATTAGTTAACCAATGGAAATGATCCCAATATGGCTGGAAAACCCACCTGCAGTCGTCCGTCCAGCGAGCGCGGAATGGTGACGCACTTGGAGGGCTGTCCGGGACAGGAGAGCGCCCGCTCCAGCTCCTCGATGGCGCCCTTGCGCTTCTTCAGCTTCTTCACCAGACTGTCGACGGCCTTCTCCGCCCACTTCTCCTCCTCGTCGCCCTGCTTCCAGCCCAGCAGCTTCTTCACCGCCGGCGATGTGAAGGAGAAGAGCGAGCCCAGTGTGGACATGGCACTGCTGGTGTTCGATTCCACATCGTCGGTGTCCATTCTGCTGCTGCCGCCGCCGCCGCTGCTGCTGCTGCTGATTGCTGTTAAACTGTGGCTGCTGCTGCTGCAGAGATTGTTGATGTTGTTGTTGTTGTGGTTATTATTGATGTGGTGGCTGTTGTTGTTGTTGCTGCTGCTGGTGCCGTTGATTTGGGGTGGAGTCACCCGGTAACCGGTATAACTATCAGCGGGCGGATAGTCTGTAAAAAGAGCAAGTAAAAAGCATATGTAAATAAAATAAATTCAAATATAATCGCATACATTCATCATCGAGCTTAGATTGCCGCAGCAACGCCCACAACAACGCATGCAAAATTTAAATGCACAGGCAGAAATAGTGGGTTTTTTCCTCAAACCGAAGGTGAAGTTATTACTTTGTGTTTCTCATAAATATTTGCATATAAAGCAATATGCAGACAGATTTATTTATTTTTCCCCAGACCAACCTTTGATAAAACATTTAGTCAAGATACCAACTTAATATACATTATTTTCTCTCAGTGTCAATACCCGCTTGGCCGATTGCCCAGAAGATTAAGGGGAGAGCAGCGAAAGGGGGGAATATCCATGGGGCCTTTCAATGCATCATGATTTTGGCCGGCAAATAAAGTCGTTGGGAGGTTCCTGTCATGAACGGACTCCTCCCACTTTCAATGTTGGCAACCAATTGCATGCAAATTGCCTGCAACATTTTCTCATTGAGAATTATGGCCATTATTGCCTGAGTTAGTTGGTAAGCTGATTAATCAAGACTCGATTTCGTTGGAAAATTATTTTTATCTATTAAATATGGTTATTGTTGAACGCCAATCGCTGTTGACGTCATTTGTGGAACAATGCTATTATTATAGAGGGGAATTTTTTTCGGGTCTACTTCTTTGAATTCTAATAAAAAGGTTTCGAGGTTGGTAAGCATCTGTTATTGTTATTTGAGTCAAATCAGAAGCACCAAAGTAACTAAAAGTTACTTAAAAGGAATATTTATAACGAAGAGATAATATTATAATTTTGGGGTTCTTAACTTTTCTTATCTTTTCTTGGAAATTTGTTATTTAAGTAATATTAGTTATAATATAGTTTGATATATATTGAAGTTTATGTGGGAATGGTTAACCAATCAATTGATTCCTCCATTAGTGTCACTTCACTGTATTCCACTGAAAGCTGGGCGAGAACTGCATCTCATAATTAGCGCAAATGATAACCAAATGGCTTACAACTTGTCAGCACCACAAATGTGGGTCCCCCACCCCCTTTCTTCGTCCCCTGCAAATTTTCTCCCTTGCCATCGTCGCAGAGTCTAACGGTAAAGACAACAATTCAATCTGAATTATGACATTTCAATGTTAACAGCATTTCCGAAGAACTTCACTCCGGTTGCAAGTGCAAGTGCTCTGGCTGCTGGCTGCAAGTTTTGGTTTGTGTGTTCGACCCAATCTCGTATTTTTTCTCGAGGTGTCAAAAATTGTTTAATTAAATTCACAAGTGACAAAACCTAATTGAATGAAACTTTGTAGTAGCCATTAATTTGTGCAGGCTGGAGCACTCAAATCGCAAACTCGCACCAGCGAGCCACACAAGGCGAACCACCAACTCCAACTCCCCCTTTTGGCATCGGGCAGGAAAATCCAATTTCAAAAGCAATTAAATGCCGGCGATAAATCAACAAGTGCAACACTTGGACAACAAGAAAACACCTCTCGATCGGACCGACAGACCAACTGGCGCATATTTCTGCCCAAATTAGCCGCTGCGTGAATTAATTTCGATTTTCTCGCTCAAACCAGGCCTAATACTTTGGGGCGTTGCCTGAGTTTTGGCGCTTTTTTTCAGCATTGACAATTTTATGTTGTCGCCTTTGGAAGGGGGCGTGGACGCGGGGGGCCAGTGGATTCGGGGGAACCCACTTTTTTAATTGCCCAAAGTCACCCAGAGCCCCAGGCGCAAACATGGCCTTTGGTGTTATGCCAACGCCGCGAATAAACATTTCAAGTCGGGAGTAGTTAACAAAATCTACACAGCTTTTTCAACAAATAAAAAAAAAAAGAATTCATTTTATCTAAATTTCAAAAAAAAATGTATCTTTACTTAAGAGATTAAAACAAAGTATAAATTTAAAAGGCACTTCTTTCATTGGGTTTTCGATCATTCTAAGACAAGAGAGTTAAAGATATAGATAACATCAAGACAAGGGGGTTTGTTCAGTTTTTGGTTGGCAGTCGTGGTCTTGTGGATTGGCTTGTCTTGTGGAATTCGATTGATTGTGGGGTGAGCATACAAATTTCAATAATACCCCGCTCTTGTTTGGCAAAGCTTTGACAATTTGTTGACTGCAGGTGAGGTTCCGAACAATAATTGGGCTTTAAAACCCAAGCAAATTCTCAGGAATTGAAAAGGCGATCAACTTTGTGCTTCACGTTTATAAAATTCCTATGATTCATTTGTTATTTAGGAGTAAATACTTGCTTTTTATTATCTCGTTTTTAATGTTTTCCTAAGAATCCTATGACAATGAATTTTTAATATTATTTTAGCAATTTACAATGCGCTTATGGTCCATTGTCATATGGTTTCTGCAATTCCCCCAATTAATTAAGGATCAATAATCGTAATTTGCAATTACATATCATATCACGTATCAACCTTACTCCTTTATTCTTTTTTTTTTGCCTTTTGCCCCACCCAAAACTGGCGCAGTCTTCATTCTTATTCCAAGAAATCCACACGCAGAGGAACACTCATCACTAAACTTGAAAGCCCTTGAAGTAGCTTTACAAAATGTAAGGTTACAAAGTATTATATGGTGTATATGGTTAAAAGGGATTTAAGACCGATTGATTGCAAGTAGTTCAGCACAATTTTGTGTTCAGTGCAGCGATGATCAGCAATCCGCCGATCATAACTCACATGGAAGACCGAAGGCCTGGGCACCGAGGACTTTGAGGGACTTTTATGGCAGGCACGCATTCGCGCATGCGTATCATACAATTCCAATCGATAATCAATCATAAATGCGGCAGTGACAATAAGGCGTAAATCACGGTAGCCAGGTAAATGGTAGATGGTTGATGGTAAACCCGAAGGTGGATGGGAAAATGTTGAGAGTACAGAGGCTCTGCCACTGGCACTTCCGCTGCCACTGAAAGCGGGCAAAAAGTGTAGTAAAGGTACGACTACGATTGCGAGTGCGAGTGCGATACGAGTACGAGTATGAGTATTAGTATGAGTACGAGTACGAGTACGAGAGAGGGAAATAGGGACTTGGACCCATGTTTAAAAATAAACAAACAATGCACACACAAAAACAGAGATAAGGAACCCAACGAGCGGCGGGCCAGCGGCAAAAGTTTCGGTTTGAGGAAAACTCAAAAATCGGGCGAGGAAAATAAAATACAGGCAGGGAAGCGAGGCGAACTACCGAACGTACACATGTTGAGATTGCAGATATTATATTATTTATTTTTATTGCACGCACACACACACGCACTGGCGCTACACGGATGCGATGCACAAATCAAAATCAGCATCAAAATGTTATTCGTATGCAAATTTGACTCTCCACGACGATCGATCGAGAATCTTTACGGCGACCGTTTACGTTTCTGCGGTTACATTTCCGATTCTTAATTCTTAATTCAATTGTTATCTTTTCATTCGCCAGCCACGACTCGGATTCGGATTCGGAATGCGCTTCAATAATAATAACTTAATTTATTGAAGCTGTTTGCCATGTTATTTATTTTTGCGGCAAATTACGCAAAGTCCCCAGAGAACGGGAGCGAGCGCGAAACCAACTGCACGACACCACCGATCGACAACGAATGCCGAACGGGTTGCACAGAAAACTGAGTCCGCCGCCGAGTGTTGACTGACGGACGAACTGACTGACTGACTGCCTGATTGAGGCACTGACGAACTGAACGGAGCCCAACTGCACTCGTGCTACGCTGCGTACAGTGGCTCGCAGCTTATTTCGTGCAGTTACCTAAAAAAAGTTCAAATCGTTATTCCTGCTAAACTAAAAAAGATAACCGAAAAATTTAAACGCAGTATTTTAATATGGAATATAAACTTATTTACTGAACGAAAGCGATTTTCTTAATCATAAAAACAAAAAAATTATTTAATAAAAACAAAATGTACAGGGTTTTTCGATGCCGCAGCTTATTTCGTGCAGCAGATTCTACTTAACTTATTATTAGTAATTTAACAGATACGGTTTTGTATGTCCATTTTTCTGGTTCAGGACATCTTTGAGATGATTTCCCATGGAGCAAAATAACTTTTTAGTGGTTTCCAGTGAAATTTTTTGACATTCTTCCATAAGAACAGTTTTCAGGTCGTTTTTGTTCGAAATCTTCCTCTTCCTTATAGCGATGTCCAATATTTCCCAAAAATTTTGGATCTCATTTAAATCTGGAGACTGTGCTGGCGTTATAACGACATGTGGGCAGTTCCAGGTAACCCAAGACTTCACAATTCCTGCTGAATGCTTCGGATCGTTGTCCTGGTAAAATCGAAAACGATCGCGTATGCCCAGTTTTTTAGCAGTTTGGAGTAGGTTATCCTCTAAAATGTTGAGGTACATTGTAGCGTCCTTGATGCCATCTATAAAAATGAGTTTGCCCATGCCAGAGACTGCCTTACAGGCCCAAACAATGGCCTGACCAGCGCTACGTTTGACCGTAGGTTTCAGGTGCTTATTTTCAAACTCTGTATTTGGTCACAGGAGCACATACTTTCACCGATTTTGTTCTGGGATGACTTTATTTTTGCTGACGAGTCAAAATGTAACATTTTTGGTTCAGATGGACGACAATTTGTGTGGCGGCGACCAAATACAGAGTTTGAAAATAAGCACCTGAAACCTACGGTCAAACGTAGCGCTGGTCAGGCCATTGTTTGGGCCTGTAAGGCAGTCTCTGGCATGGGCAAACTCATTTTTATAGATGGCATCAAGGACGCTACAATGTACCTCAACATTTTAGAGGATAACCTACTCCAAACTGCTAAAAAACTGGGCATACGCGATCGTTTTCGATTTTACCAGGACAACGATCCGAAGCATTCAGCAGGAATTGTGAAGTCTTGGGTTACCTGGAACTGCCCACATGTCGTTATAACGCCAGCACAGTCTCCAGATTTAAATGAGATCCAAAATTTTTGGGAAATATTGGACATCGCTATAAGGAAGAGGAAGATTTCGAACAAAAACGACCTGAAAACTGTTCTTATGGAAGAATGTCAAAAAATTTCACTGGAAACCACTAAAAAGTTATTTTGCTCCATGGGAAATCATCTCAAAGATGTCCTGAACCAGAAAAATGGACATACAAAACCGTATCTGTTAAATTACTAATAATAAGTTAAGTAGAATCTGCTGCACGAAATAAGCTGCGGCATCGAAAAACCCTGTACATTTTGTTTTTATTAAATAATTTTTTTGTTTTTATGATTAAGAAAATCGCTTTCGTTCAGTAAATAAGTTTATATTCCATATTAAAATACTGCGTTTAAATTTTTCGGTTATCTTTTTTAGTTTAGCAGGAATAACGATTTGAACTTTTTTTAGGTAACTGCACGAAATAAGCTGCGAGCCACTGTATCTGTGTGAGCAAGCCAGGGAGGTACGAAATAGTGGGGCAGCCCCAAAGGAACCTCTCGAATCGAACCCCTTTTGCGAGGTACTAAACCAACTAAAAAATGTATCATAACTTAACATACAAGACAGAATACGAGAAACCCTTCTTGTTATATTGCCTTTCTAAACCATTCTTTTAAACCCAAATACCCCTTCAAGTTCTTCTAAATTCTTATATTTATCAGATCCTATTCCGCAGCCCTGATTTTGAAGACCGTTGAGTGACGTATTCTTGTCGAGTTTATAATGGTGTGTACCGTGTACCAGCGGCCAAGTGCACACCACTACTCAAGCGTTCAAAGTTTTGTTTTAAACAAATCAAATGCCCTATCTGCAGTTGGGGCGCCTGCACGTGAACACAAACGTGTTTGTGTGCTGCAGTCCACACAGGAAGAAAAAGGGAAGCGCTTTTCTTTTAGAACTATAATATGTATATACTTTACTCAAGCAGACTCAGATGATCTGAGTGGAAACTTTTAGTTGAATACCAAAAGAAAGAATTATAATTTTACTGTTTTGGTAGAGACTGTTTAACTCCTATCTATTACAAACAAGTTTTTCGGTGAGAGGTAATTTAAATACTATCTTTTTATTTTTCTTAGTGCATTGCCTTTGCTGGTGGAGGTGGCGTCAACCCACAATCACAATCAAACTGTAAACACCCCACCGCAACCACAACAAGTGAAAAATGGCTTGGGCACTGAAAAGGGAGCCAAGAAAAGAGGCAGCGTCAACGAATTTTTTCGTGCGTGGGCCTGGCTAGAAATCGAACCCCAAATTCGAGGGAGCCCTCCGCTGGCAGGGCAGGGTGCTTAAAATACGAAAATAACCGAGAACAAAACGAATTTAGTTTCGCAAATGCACTGCCAACTATGATGGTCGTGCAGAAAATCGCCAGTGAAGTTGCCAAATCAACAAACATAAGTGCAGGCAGATTTTGCATATCCTTTTAAAAGATATTTGATCTAAGTTACCAATTTAAATTGGTTTAAATTAAGTTAAAAAAAAATTAAGTTAATTAAGTTGCAATCTTATCATTCTGAACTATATTCTTGACCCAACCTGTAAGTATGCTCAGAATTTGAGTACGTTTATGTGCAATAGCTCCTCCCGCTGCTTTTATTGCGTGTTTAACACTACTAACGCGAATTTATTGCCAACATGGGTAACATTACACAGTCGTCGTTAAAATCGAAAATAGTAATGAAGTGAGCCTCCCTCGAACTGCAAACGGAAAACGGAAAGCCTACGAAAACTAACAAAACCCTCGGTACGCCATAATTATGTAGTCCTGTAGCTGAAACAATAAAATTTTATGCACGCAAATTGGCCAAACTCGCATTAGCCACCTCATCCACGTGCCAAAGTGCAAACGTCAAGGGATAAAAATGTGCAGGCACTGGAAAAATCCTTTTCAAGTAAATTAACTCAGTTCTAATTGCAAATAATTGCCGCGATAATTGCAGAGGGCCACGCAGAGGCTTTGTCATGTGAGTAATTGAGCTGTCAACGCGGAGACACCACCGATTTTCAGGAAAAAAGTGAGTGGTGGGTGGTCGAGTTAAAGCTGCCTTTAGTAAAGGTTAGTTTAAATAAGTTTTAAGAATAGTTAGCAAAGAATGGTTGCAGTGTCTTGTTAACTGAAAGCAGGTAGAACTAGGAGGAATCCTAATAGAAGTTGACAAATTTTGATGCCAACTCGAAAGCCAATTAAACCAGGGCCAAAGTAATCGCTGAGCATGTGACAAAAGCCAACTGCCAGAAGCCGAAGTCCTCAACTTTGTTGCGATGTTTGCTCCTGTGGCCCAGTGCTGTTGTGCTGTGTTGCACTCTTGTTGTTGTTGTTGTCGTCTCACCGTCACTGCCGACGCCTGAACATGCAACAATTGTTGCGTGTTCAACTACCAATCAATGCCAATGAGTGCCGGACCACAAAGGCAGCAGCAGCACTCGCAGGAATCAGGAGCAACACGCACAGTTAAGGGCAAAAAAGTAGTTTCAACTTTCTTTCGGTTAGAAAAGTAGGGGAGAAGTGGGGGTTGTGGGCATGGGTCGGTTGTGGGCACCCCCTACGTATATCTTCACAAAATGAAGATTGAATTTTTTTGGTAATGTCATTCGCAAGCAATTACCCTATGTATGATTTATGCCAAATATCAAAGTAAACAGACGCGTTTGCTTTTTGAAATTAACGAATTGGTTTTTCTTGTGCTTGGAAAAGGTGGTGAAACTTTATTCAAAGATTTTCAATAGTGTATCAATTAAAGTGAATCGATTAAAAAGGTAAGTGTAATGCATTTTTATTTAGTCAAAGCAATATACTAAATGGAACAATATCGATTTGAACCAAAAAATTTATGCTAACACATTTTTTAATTACTTCTTAAAATGTCTGCGAAAGTTGGTTGTGGGCACCAAAATTGGGTGGGTTGTGGGCACCCCTTTTTTTTGGCCAATTTTTTTATTACCGACAATTTCTTGTAAAATTGTTTTCAAAATTTGTTTGGATCCCTCTAGAACATTCTTGTAGAAATCTTAGGGTCTTGGAAAAGGATCCTCTCCCGCTGAGAGGGATTATCACTCAATTGTGACATCTGCGATCGAGCTTTTCATCCGAAATGTGTGGACATGCGGGGCAGTCATTATACATGTCAAAATTGTGTTTCCGACGATGAATAACGCCTATGTAGTCTTTGAAATAAATAAATTGTCATTTTGTTGATATTGGTTGCGGTTTTTTTTCCATATTATTCCATTTGCAGCATTTTTTCCCAGGGTGCCCACAACCCCCCAAAAAAAAAATTTTAGCTGAAAATTACGATTTTACAAAAGTCCATATGAAATTTTTTCGCATGACAAAATCAAGTATGTTTCTTCATAACTAGTTAGCTTAGGTCTCTAGCTTTACACAGATACCCATATGTCCAAATAATATTCACTAGTTCGGTAATTATAAGCCAAAAACAAAACTATGCCCACAACCCCCACATCTCCCCTACTTTTTAGAAGCGATCTTTAAATCTTTCATTCATACTTGCGAAATTGGTTATTAAATTTATTTAAAATAAATTGTTAAATTTCAAATTGGGATATAGGTATATACTATATATTTATTGCTGACCTCGTCTGTGGAGGGAAACTGCTGCTAGAGTGCAACTGCAACCAGCAGCAAGTTCGTCATCGTCATCGGCATCCACGATTCGTTCGGTTCGCTTAAATAGCCATAAATATGTGGAGTATGCGCCACAGTTCCCGAGATCGGCCCCCCTTAACCCACCGCGGTCCGCTTAACCCTTCCGCCTGTCCTGCGGGTTAAACGTGCTGCTGCTGTGTACCGCCTAATGCGTGCGCCAAAACAAAACGTAAAAGAATTCTTAGAAAAGCGTCGCCGCGCGAGTAAGCGAAAAAACGCAGGAGCAGGGGGCCAAGGAGTCCAACATCGAGTGGATTAAATGGCACAAACATGGCTAATTACATGTATTTAACACGCACAGGGCAGTCTGTACTTAAAAGTTGGCAATGCGACACAGACAATGACAAGCAACACAATTATGGTCAAAAGCTCGAAAGCGATCCACTAGAGACATTGCCCACTGAAAGGCGGGCCAGAGGATAGTTAAGAATTAGCAGGAGTTAATCTATAAACTGATCATTACTATACCCGTCACCTACACTCACATAAAAATGTATTTCAAGAGTAAGGACCAGCTTATTATGTGTGTTATGGCTTTGAAACACAAACATATACATATACAAATAGGTATATTTTGACCCATGTTCATACCAGTTAACTTCCATAATAATTAATTTATTAAAAATATAATACAAGGTATTAACTAGTTGTTCTTTTTTTTTTTTTTTGCATTTTTTCCTTGCTTTGATGGATATCTACACCATTAAAATAGGAGCGGCTGAGAATGGATTCAAAAGCCATCCCACTCCACTCCGCCTCACGACTCCAGCGAACTCCGCGTTGTCAATGCAAAAATTTATTAGATTTTAAATGCAATAATTATTAGCATTATATGGGCAATGAAGCGCCGATCGAGGACCCCGTCGGAATGTCCAATCAGTCTCGGCCATTCCGCTATGTGTGTGGCTAAGACGGAGAGTGCTTAGTATGCAAGTTGGCCAGCCACGATCGGCAGTAGCTGCCAAACTGTAAACTCTAGTTACAGGCTAATTTCATTCAAGACGAGCTCGACTTGCGTGGGTGTTGGCCTCACCACCGCCTGTTGCATGACTTCGCCGCCTTCCGAACCCCACTTCAAACCCCCCTTTCTGCCCCTCCCCCGCCCATAACTATTCCCATATTCCCAGTCGCCGACACTGACAGTTCAGCGACAGAGATTTATGCGCTGTAATTTCCCACTTTATTACAGTTTAAAGTTGCGTTCATAAGTTTTGGCGCAGTTTGTCTCTTTTAGCTGCCATTTGCCTCAATTTCGCGCTCTAAATGTGGCACTTTTACGGGCTTAAAGGGCGTCAAGCGAATGGATTTATAATTTTAGGAAGCGATTAAAGAGTCATTTCAATTATTTTAATTTTTATAAATTTTTAGGGCCAATAAGTCAACTAATTTCATTTACAACTAAGGGTACTTTTTGTTTCGAATCTCCCTTGGACCAACTTCTGTTAATCTTTGATTCGAGTTTTGTAGCCAAAAGCCAAGCCGCCGATATTAATCTGCTCCAACGTACTTCTTAATAAAGTTGTTTTCGGTATTATGACAATAAAAGAGAAAATCCTATTGCGCCAGGGTCTAAAAATAAGTTCAAATTCGTGTTGACAATTTTTTTTTGTTCCGTTTGGCTTTGTTGTGTTTTGTTTCTCGTTTTATTACCATTGCGCGGACGGATTATCGCGACAAGAAGATCAAGAGCCCCAAGAGGACCAAGGGGCAAATGGGGGCGGTGGCGGATGGGAAGCCAAACATTTATATGGATATCAAAAAATAACAAGAAGGGGCCGCCCACTGTCACCGACAGGGACAAAAAAAAAAAAGCGAAATACTGAAAACTGAAAAGCGTAAATCACGCTTTCGATAGATTTAAAATTAGTTTCCTGCGATAAGCCGTCGCCAGATTGTTACAGCGCGTTTCGGGACTGTAACTCATTGTGCATTGCCTTTACAACTGAATAATCCGAAGCTAAGCTCTTAAAGATCAAAACACGAGTTCTATTTGATAGATAAAATGTTTTTCATATACTCTATAAAATTAATAATTGTCCTACCGTATATTTTTGTGCCACAAATTATCTGCAGACCCCAAGGTAGCAAGAGATACAAGGGAATGGGGGATTGTAATGGCTTGATCACTTTAGATCTCGGTTGTTATATTTTTTTTTTTTGAGTTACTGGCACGAAAATTTGCATGTTGCTCGTTGCACAAACTGCGCATAAATCCAATTAATAACATAATTATTTGGCAAGCAAAACGCAGCGGTTTGTGAGGCAAACCATTCAGAGCTCATTTCAAGGGGCCGCCGCTGAATTTGCGTCTGCATTTGCCACTTTTCGCGGTGCGTAGGCTGAGCCACCAAACCACCGAACCACCAGTTACCTGGACGAACCACCGCCGTATGCAAATTGCCCATATGCATTTTGTTTTATTTTTCTTCCTTTTTGCTGTTGGTCTATGCCTAAATTGAAATATTGACTTTGCGCACTTAATTTTCGGGCTGGCAAATTTGAATTACCAATCAAAAAGGGAGGCGCGGGGTGCACCGTTGAGGGAAAATTTCCAGCATAACAATGTGCAACATAAATTAGAATAGCAGTTAAAACATTAGGCGAAACTTACTGTCTTTTGTGCCAGGGGTCTGTGGTGTGTGGGTGCGAACGAGGCAAGAAACTTTGGATCGGGGGCGTCACTTTAGACCAGCCATAAGTTTTACTGGGAACTTCTTGCGGCGTTTCCCAAAATGATTTGTGGTCTTGCCTCGGGAATTAACACTCCGACTAAAATCTGATTGGAAAACCCCACAGCAGATAACGAATGCAAATCGCAAATCAGATTAGACCGAAGCTTTTTAAGTCATCAATTAATCAAAAATTAAATATAAAAAATCCCAAACTGATTGTGTGAAAAGTTTTGATTATAAGATAAAGGTAGTTTGGGGCTTGCAAGGCTGAAAGTCTATTAGTATTAGAACCTGTTGCAAGCCATAATCTACAACATTAGATTTAATTCTTAGCCAGTGCTTACTGTATTAAATCACCGAAGCAAACCGCAGAAATGGCATAAACCGAAACCCAACAGAACCCAGATCGGAACCACTAGAAAAATCAAACCCACCCACCCACATGTCGAGCGTTCGCCAAGTGGAATTGAGTGCACACATTGCAAATCTTCTAGTCTTGTGTCGCGCTTCGCTTCAGTTGCCCTCGACAAAGGAAAACTTTGGCTGCAAGTGCAGTGCTGTTCGTTTGGCTTTCCTCCCACGAAATTGAGTTTGCATGCGCATACCCAAGTCCTCTTGTTACTAATGATAGTCGATGGATTTTAATAGTTAGGAAAGGGGTTTTTAAACTTTTTACTATATTATATATATATAGTATATACATACGTTCCGACCCGACCAAAGGTTCACCCCTTTTATTCCAATTGGCATCTCTATCGGCAAAGTTTCTGATAAGACCCACCCGACGGGGCGCTGTTTATTATTTACCGTTTGAGAGTGAAAGAGAGGAGAGCGAAATTATCAATAAAGCCCCAAAGCTGAGTCATAAAGGTGAGAAAGGAGAGCAAAGTTCCCATCTAATTTAATTAATCACCGAAATGTGCAGCGCACTTCTATTGCTTTTTGTTTTGGGTGCACATTCAATTGGAAATTCAGCACCTGTGCCTCTGGCAATGACGCCAACTGAGAAAGCGGTTCAAGAGAAATTTTGAGAACATTTTTAGACAAGAATTTCAAGTATTTTCAAAACATAATAAAAATTTAATTTTATTGTGTGTATTTATAAGTGATGCTACTTTTTTCCTTTTTTCGGTTCAATTAATGGCGCGCACACACTTATACATACACGGCGCACACACACTAATAGACACATATTGCAGCATATTCTTATGAGAATAAAACGGCGATCGTCTGCAGAGAATAACAACAACAATATATTTTTTGCCCCACAACACAACAACAACAAAAACAGTGTGGCGGTCGCAGCGAAGAAGAAGCAGCACCATACACAAATACAGACAAACATTTTTTCTCATCTCTTTCACCCGAACGTAATTGCACTAAAAAACTGATTTTCTTCTGGGAAAAATCCATAAAATCTTATTGTGAACTACTCACGCGTAAATTTAAGCACTTATTGCGGGTTTATTTTGACATTTTGTTTGGTTTTTGGCCCCGCAAATGTGCGTAAATTGTTTTTCAAAATTGTTTATCACGAAATGCACATACAACACACAGCGACATCGAATTCAGTGTGGTCGTGGCTGAGCGAATATACCAAGATTATGAGAAAATACTGAAAATAGAGATGGCGGGTCGTCGCTAAACTATCGCGACAATTTTGTAGAGCAAAGTTTAAAAAATTTTAAAAATGGTCTATATTAACACAAGAAACTTAAAATAATTGAGATCGTTATTAAATATTTTAAATGGAAGATTAAATTGTTTGCTGGTATTTTTGCAATCGATTAATTGCCATCGCCAGCTAAGCGCGCTTTGTTTTGGCATAGAATTTGGGAATTGTTTATTTTGTTAAAAGATTTTGTTGCAATTTTGTATTTTCCCGTCAGTTTAACTAAACAATATGAGGGAGTGTCCTTATGGCGATAAGTGCTACAGGAAGAATCCCATTCATTTTGGCGAGTTTTCACATGTACATTGTAAGTAAAAACAAAGTAAATAGAGGTTGACAAACTTTTGTTGATATTCTTTACATTTTAGTGGATGCCATTTATGAAAAGGGCAATGGGTCGGGAAGTTACGATATACCTGCGAAATATGACAGCGAAATGATTCTAGCCCAATTAAAGTTGCTGGAAAAACTATTTCCCAAAGATGGAGCTAAAAAGGAGAAGGAAGAGAATGTTTCTGGTTCAAAACCACCTGTGACTGCTCCAGTTAACAGTGGATCCTCTAGTTCGAGGCCCTCAAATAACAATCCGAGTGGTTCCTCAACTTCCCGATCAGCTCCTCCCCAGGACACCTCAAATCTGGCCAAAAAACAGAAGATGAATGCCAAGAACATCAGAGATTATATTCCTGTGGTGGTGGAAAAAGGAGGAATGGCCAAGAAACTGGAGCGAGCAGCTCCTTACAACATGTTCCTTACGGCGATTACGGACTCAAAGCCCACCCACTCGGAACCCTTGAGCGTCACCTTTCAGGAAATCCTAGACGAAAGTCTGGGTGAGATCGAGAGCACCGTGCAAATAAACTTCATGGTGGATATCGGCTGGCTTCTCGGGCATTACTACTTTTCCGGGATACTGTTAGTAAATCAAGTACCACTGTTTTGATAATCATCAATTTCATCCTATTGCAGAGACAAACCGCTTCTGGTTCTCTATGGCGACGAATCTCCGGAAATTCTCAACATCAGCAAGCTTAAGCCGCAGGTCACAACCGTTCGGGTTAGGATGCCCACTCCCTTCGCCACCTCGCACTCCAAAGTGATGTTTCTGGGCTACACTGATGGCTCCATGCGGGTGGTCATCTCCACTGCTAACTTGTACGAGGACGATTGGCACAACCGCACGCAGGGCTTGTGGATCAGTCCCAAACTGCCTGCTTTGCCGGAGAACGCGGACACGGGAGCAGGCGAAAGCCAGACGGGCTTCAAACAGGATCTAATGCTTTATTTGGTCGAGTACAAGATTAGTCAGTTGCAGCCCTGGATTGCCAGGATTCGAAAAAGCGATTTTAGCGCCATCAAGTATGTTACCTTTAAGTTACTCCTGTTTAATCTTACTAGCTTATGCCACTTTTAGCGTGTTCTTTTTGGGATCTGTGCCTGGCGGTCACCGCGAGAGCGCCGTGAGAGGTCATCCTTGGGGTCACGCTCGCTTGGGCGCACTCCTCTCCAAGCACGCAACTCCCATCGACGATCGCATACCTGTAGTTTGCCAGAGTTCGAGTATTGGAAGCCTGGGTCCCAATGTACAGTCCTGGATTCAGCAGGATTTCGTCAACTGCCTGAAGAAGGACTCCACGCCTGTGGGAAAACTGCGCCAGATGCCGGCTTTTAAGATGATTTATCCTAGTTTTGGAAACGTGTCGGGTAGTCACGACGGAATGCTGGGTGGCGGATGTCTGCCCTACGGAAAGAACACCAATGACAAGCAGCCTTGGTTAAAGGAGTACCTGCAGCAGTGGAAATCTAGCGATCGCTATCGCTCCAGGGCCATGCCGCACATTAAAAGCTATACCCGCTATAATCTCGAGGATCAGTCGGTGTATTGGTTTGTCTTAACGTCGGCCAATCTTTCAAAAGCAGCCTGGGGCTGTTTCAATAAGAACTCAAATATTCAACCATGCTTGAGGATTGCAAACTACGAAGTCGGTGTTTTGTTTCTGCCCAGATTTCTGGTAAGTTCGGGAATGCATTTAGAATTTTAATTTTGGTAATTTTAATATTTTTATTTTAGACTGGCGAGGACACCTTCCCTTTGGGTAACAACCGCGATGGTGTTCCCGCTTTTCCACTGCCCTATGATGTTCCATTGACGCCTTATGCTCCAGATGATAAGCCCTTCTTGATGGATTATCTTCAGGGTTGAGATGTTTAGTTGTTGAGATGTTTAAAATGTATTTGATTGTAGTTTCATTTGTCTAAGTTATCGTTTTTGAATTTTGATGTATTTATTTATGTGATCCTCGCATTAAAGAAAAGCCAAAAATGAGTTCTAATTAGTATTCGCTCCATTTCTACAATTTTAATAGGTTCTAAAATTTTGTATGGTTCGTCCCTGTTTCAGGGAAACCCCCAGTTTTTATGCCTTTTGTTCAAACGATATACTCTTGTTAATAAAACTTAACAAGAAAAGTTTAAACAATCATTCCAGAACGATACTTTGTATATCGGGTCTTGTATTTAGTAAAAAATACTCAAAATGTCTTAAATATCGATAGTCCGCCCACGCACCTGGTATTTCCTCCTTGTCCCGCCTGCGGTCACACCAAATCTAGTTACTTAAAATCGGAGAAGGCGAAGGCAGAATTTTCGAGTACAATTTAAATCCGGTTCCGTTCACTTGGAAAGTGTTCGCTTATATTGGCCATACAAAAATTAGCAAACAAGCAGGAAAAAAACTCATAACATACACACATTACACCCACTTGAAGGGACAGAAAAAGTCGAAGGATAAGTGGCCAGTGATTGGATGATAAGGCAGGACAACTGCCGATTTCCTCGGATCCTGGGCAGAAAATTGGAGGACACAGCGCCAACATGTCCACCGCCTTCCTGACACTAATCGCCGTCATTGTGTGCATCCTTTTCCGGATCCTGAATGTCCACAGCCAGCCGCTGAAGCCGAGTGTTTGGTGCCTGGACGCCCAGTTTCTGGACTGCCTCTACAAAATCGCACCCGTGCTTAGGGAACCGTAAGTTATATGGGGGTTACGAGGTCGAAATTATGGAGTGGTACCTTCGGAGCAATTTTGCTCTTTTCCCCTTCTATCCAGCTTGTCACGCCCACACAGGCGCACTGGGGCGGTTGAAATCAGAGCACAATTCAGACCCACACTCAACCTGCAAAAATTTTGTAATCCCCTTTACTTAGTCGACAGCTGTAGCTCATCATCACTTTATTTATATTATTGTTATTTAGTTATAACAGCTAATGCTCAAAAGAAGATTATACTTTTCCATAATGCTATTCATTTGGCCACAACTATAAAACTGCTGATGCCATCGCAGAACGGCTGTTAACTGTGCCATCAAAAATCACAGTCGCGCCAAAATGTTAGTAAAACCAGTCGGTTTTCCATCACATTTGGTGATAAACAAATCTTCAATTACCTTAAATTACTGCAAACGGCCAATTTGCTGGCTTGTGGAAACATAAACTATTGTTTCACGCAATCCGTCATATTCCCAGCTGCCGAATGAATCATTAATGACACTAAGTCAATAAAACTGCTGTCAATGTCTAAATTATTCAAAAACTCATCAAACTTTTCACCTACCAAGCACTTATGGGTGCTTTTGTAGATGTAGTATTTATTAAATTCAATTTTACAATTTTTATTCGCACTATCAGTGATTGTAGACTGTATCATAATGCACTCGTTTCTGTCTGACGTTATGTTATCGGTGAAATAATAAACCCTTACTCACAGTGCTTGTGGTCATGGATTAAAAATATTCTACGTGTTAAAATAGGTTATCACGCATAGAAAATTGATTTAAATTAATTGTTTTATTTTGCCAGCTTTTGTAAGGTTATCAAGGGCAGAAACTTGGAATAACAAATAGAACTTACCCATAGCTCTTGCTTGCAAATGTTTAAAATTAAATGCCACAGACTAATCAAAAGTGAAAAAGTGTAAGAACATAAAAGGGGGTCTTGGTTTATCCCGAAATTGTTTTCTTTAATTTATGGACAAACATTTTTCTTTGGCTGTCGCCACGCGCCTGGAAAATTTTCATTCGATTTTCATTCTTTTTGCGAAAATCTTTCGGGCTTTCGCTTTTGCCGACCGACCGCATAATTAAATGGCATTTTGTATAATCTCGTTCTTTAGGTTTTTCAATTTACTTTTTTTACATGTCTGCGAGAATAAGCGATAAGAAGTAATAATGTAGAGTGGTCGACCAAAGTTCGCATCAGAATTACGCAGTGGGGCAGGAAAATAAAGTCGGCGACTAACGCCTAGCAACCTGATTTCGGCCAACTTGACAGTCACCCGGTAATCGCGTGGGAGTTTCCTGAAGAAATGTGTTTGTATATGGAAATGTTGGCTGATAAAGGAAAAAAAAACCGGCGAAATGTTTGCGCAGTTTCCTTTTGAGCGTTTTGGCTCGTTCAAATGCCGGCAATACCTGTAATGTTTTTGTTTTTGCTCTGGCGCTTTGCCCAGTCGTCTGCCGCTTTTGTTTAACAACAAAGATTGCGTAAGCGAAATTCTCTCGATTCTGTACAGCTTTCTTCCCCTCTCACCTGCCTCTTTGTGGTCTGAGCAAACCGGTCGAAAGGTGAGATTCGCTCAGGTAGAAAGCTCGAGTGGTTGCGAATGATGGGTTCTCTCCATTTAAATTCCAAATTACCATTTTCACATTTGGGTAAGAGATTAGTAATACTGAGTTTAGGTGTTCGCAGTATTTCAGCTAAGTTATGTCAGCTATTATGGAATATTATTTTAATTATTTTTAATGACAACTAAAATGAGCTTTACTAATTAGTCAATAAACGAACATCTTATATTACTGATATAATCTTCCCTTTGAACGTTTGTATGTTAAAATAATAAGTAGACTTAACAAAGTAAGCGGGGTTATGTAAAGATTAGAGGCCGAGAAGGTTTCTAATTTCCTGAGTACAGTCGTTTACTTTAGGGGTGCGATTCTAGAAATGCCATGACTCATTTTCCCACTTTGCTGCTCAATTTTTGCTTGCTTTTTTCATTGTAGACTCGCAACTGTCACATTTTGCGTTGAAGGTGGGAAAGAGTTGCAGCTGTTTTTAATTTGTAGTAAGGAGAACCTTTAACGACACATTTTCCCTTTACGACGCAAAATTGAATGGAATTTCATATGCATGCCACCGCATTATTCATTAAATACCTTTTGCCATATTGATTGATGTTCGAAAATTCATGTTTGAAGGTGATTAAAAATTGAGCAGGCATTTGTGCGAGTTCCCAAAGTAACCACGCCCCGCCAGCCACTTTTTCCACGGTTTTACTTTGATTGATAGTAATTGAAAAGCTTCTGTTGCCGGGCTCTCGAACGGATACACAAAATTGTATCACGTTTTTGCACGCCTGACATGATTTTTGATACACATAGATAAATTGAGATAAATTTTTTGAGCTAATATTTTGTATACCAAACCAAATAGTCTTGTTGTATGTTAGATATGTATGTAAAAATCATCAATACTAATACTTTGTGCACAGAAAACCTTCTTTTTTGGAATATGAGATTGCAAAGCTTGGTGGATTATTTTTCTCTGTGCAGATCCCACTTTCTCCATCTAATTCTGGTGTTGTTGCGTGTTCAATTAGGTTCAATTGGTTCTAATGCTGCTTTCTGAATTGCGGCTTTGTGCATTTACTTCTATTCTCATTCGCATTTGTAAGTCATCCCATTGAAAGCAAATCAAAATTCAATTCGTATAAATTATATTTGCTCAAATTTGGCAAGTTGCCTTCTAACGAACTGGAAGCAACTGCAACAGATTTATTATAGCAATGATAATTGAAAGCGCAATGTCAAGGGCAATCATTTTACCAAAACCGAAACGCCATGTCGGAAAAAAACTTGTAGCCAAACGAAATTAAATAGCACAATAAGCAAACGGAAAAGAAATTAAGGGTTTTTTGAAAGATAAGCAATTTGCTGATAAAAAGAATTAACTTGTGTTATGAAATTTCTGTTTTGTATTCACTTTTAAATAATGCGATAAGAAGCCAAGTGAAAGCTTCATAAAATAAAATTTTACTTTTGTTTTCGTTGATTCTTTTTGTAGTTAAGATATGAATATATTTATTATATTAACTTAAACAATTTCTTACTCCTTTAGCTACATTCCACCACGTCTTTGGGGCTTCAGTGGTCATGTCCAGACAGTTTTGCACAGCATTGTGGGCCGGGTTCGCTGTCCTTGGCCCTTGGGGGAGCGCGTCTACATGTCGCTTCCGGATGGCTCCACGTTAACGTACGACTTGTACCAGCCACTCAACGAACAGGAGGGTGAGTAGCTCAACTTATCCTTATCCATTGCCAGTATTTAACATTCCCATTAATCTACCCAAAGATGACATCACTGTGGCCATTTGCCCGGGCATCGCCAATAGCTCGGAGTCGGTGTACATCCGCACCTTCGTGCACTTGGCCCAGTGCAATGGATACCGCTGTGCGGTGCTGAACCACATTGGAGCCCTGCGCAGCGTCCAGGTGACTTCGACGCGCATCTTTACCTATGGCCACACGGAGGATTTCGCGGCCATGGTGGAGCACTTGCACCAGAAGTACCGCCAGAGCCGAATGGTGGCGGTTGGTTTCAGTCTGGGCGGCAACTTGGTCACCAAGTACATGGGCGAGGACCAGAAGACAAAGCCCAACAGCGTGATTGGAGGCATATCCATTTGCCAGGGCTACAATGCCGTCGAGTGAGTTGCTATTAGCACTTGTATTTAAAGGAAATATAATCTTAAATTAAATAAATAATTTTTAGGGGAACAAAATGGCTGCTGAACTGGCAAAACTTCCGACGCTTCTACTTGTACATCATGACGGAGAACGTAAAGAGCATTATCCTCCGACACCGACATGTTCTGCTATCCGACGAGGTGAAGGCTCGGCACAACCTCAACGAGCGCGAGATTATCGCCGCTGCCACTCTGCCTGAGTTGGATGAGGCCTACACCAGGCGAGTCTACAATTTCCCCTCCACCCAGGAGCTGTACAAGTGGAGCTCGTCGCTGTTCTACTTTGATTCGATTAAGAAGCCCATGATATTTATAAACGCCAAGGATGATCCCTTGATTCCAGAGGACTTGCTGCACCCTATAAAGGAGTATGCCAGTGAGTACACAACCTCTTAGGTTATTAACGCTTTACTAAATATATTTGTAAATGTTTTAGCTACCAGGCAAAACACCGCCTATGTAGAGGTGGCCCACGGCGGACATCTGGGATTCTATGAGGGAGGTTTCCTGTACCCGAACCCGGTTACCTGGCTGGATCGCACACTGGTGGCCATGGTGGGGTCCCTGGTCATGATGCAGGACGTCGGCAAGGTGGCATCTTAGGCCATCAAACCATTAGCACACACACAAAGTTAACAGACTAGTTAACGCTTTTGTGTCAAAATTAATTGTCGCTGACGGATATGAATCTTTGAGGGCAACTCGGAATCGAGCCTGAAGGACCCTACACACATAGTTCTTAAATATTATATCGATGTGACGCAAGTAAAAATTATCAGCCGCGCAAGCAGGAAAACATAAATTGATGTATACTTTTGCAAAGTGCATTTAAAACAGAGAAATTGCAGTTTTCGACAACGGTTTTTATGCTTTTTAATGACTTTTAGAAGAGCCAAACATACAGTGTATCAGTTGAACTTGTACCTTAGTTAGTTAACGCGAACCACATGTATCCATGTACTTATGTCTAAGCAAATTCCTATTTATTAGCATTTTACTTTGTGATCTAACAGGTTTTAATTATGTATATTTTTATATGTGAAATGTACAACACACTGCACACAAGGCACAATATATACGATATATGACAGTAATTATAAATTATAAGTACCCGGCCGCATTACACCATTTAAAATAGCAACAAAAATGCCTTATTGTAGACTTCGTTTTGTAAGTGTGTATATGATTTAAAGATTCAGTTTGTACTACGATGCATTTCACGGAAATCAAAGAGAAACCAAGAGAAAGTTGCCCAACGATGGCTTCAATTTTGTATACTTTTTTTCTTTACAGATGTAGTAGAACGGAAAAATATTTATAAATGTATTTGTAAAATTATTTATAAATGTATATTAAAACGAATAAACAGTTGATTTAAAAGACAAAATCGCTTAGTTTGTTAGTTTTTATATTTCTTTAGTGTTGTTAAACGCCAAATTGATTTAGTTCAACCAGTTGCACAAACGAACAACGCAGCGATATGCAGTCGTGGCCGAGCGGTTAAGGCGTCTGACTAGAAATCAGATTCCCTCTGGGAGCGTAGGTTCGAATCCTACCGACTGCGAATGAATGGAGTTTTCTTTTTTTTTTGAATTCCATTATTTATTGTTTGAAATTAACGTATATAAATACAAATCCTGTAGGTTAAAATAATTTTTGTATTTTTTCTTTTTAAAAGCAAAAATTTTGTAATAGTTGTAAATTTGTTTAGAGTTTTTTAACGACTCCTGTATGTATATGTATGTATGGTAGAGTAAAGATAGTATAATTTCCACAAAGAACTATTACTTAATTATTACTATGTATATAATGAACCATTTTGTTTTTATTTTCTTTTCGACTCTCGTTTTTTATTTAAAATGTTAATAATAAAATGGATAAATATTTGATTTTTATTTTTAAGCATTACAAATTAAAAAAAGTCAAGTTACACTAAAAATAACTGCTAATTTTTTTTAATTAAAACATCGATGAAACATCGATATTTTTCGCCAAAATCATTAAAAACATCGATGTTTGTGAACATCTCTATCCACCCTATCCACATTACATTTAGTGTAACCAATCACACTAACAGAAAATACCCTTCGATACCAAATGGTGGTTAGAGCTTTGAACTTAAAAGGTAAACAAACAACCAAATACTCAAATATTTAAATAAACATATCAAGGAGATGCCACAGGCTCTTCATATTCCGCCCTCTTAACTTGAAATAAGTAATCATACTCTCTCCGAGAAGCCATGCTTCCGCCTTCGACTGAAGGGATTAAATTTAATAACTCAAACCATTTAATCGAAGAATAGGTAAGAAGAAAAGAAGTAGATAGTTAATTAACTTATCAATATACATACATATATGTAATTTTAGAGCCATGGAGAAAACATGTCGAGTTTGCTTGGAAAAGTCTGCAAACGCGGTCAATGTTTTCGAGGTTCAAAAAGATTTCGAAGTCTCTACTGCGCACATCATATCCAAATGCACCGGTTTTAATATTACAAAAGGAGACTCATTTCCGGAATTCATTTGCCCCACGTGTCTCAAAGATGCGCAAAATGCGTTCAAGATAATAAAAACTTACGAACGGAGTAACCTAATCTTCTGTGAAGTGATGGATGCCATTATAGATACAGATTCGGCGAAAGATGAGATTCTTACAATATCGGACAGCGAAAGTGAGAGGTCGGAGTCTACTCAGGGATCAGATTCAAATGGAAACAAAGTAACCACGGACGATGACACTGATATAGGTGAGTCGCGGTCGGGTCTTACCCACCATGGCAGAGTTCACTCGGACGAATGGGCCTACAAGTGCTCCCTATGCCTAAAGGCCTTCCGGAGCAAACGCGATCTTAAGCGCCACGGTGTTTGCCACTCTGAAGACCAACCCCACAAGTGTTCCCACTGCCAGTCAACTTTTTCCCTGAAAGCACATCTACAGCAACACATCCGAATTCACACGAAAAAAAAGCAATTTAAATGCGATCTTTGCGACAAGGATTTTAGGCAGAATTCAGACTTGAAACGGCACATGAGAACTCACACGGGAGAAAGACCCTACAAGTGCTCCCTTTGCCTAAAGGCCTTTCGGAGAAAAAGCCATCTTACGAGCCATGGTGTTTGCCACTCTAAAGACCGACCCCACAAGTGTTCCCATTGCCTGGCAACTTTTTCCCTGAAAGCAAGTCTACAGCGACACATCCGAATTCACACGGAAGAAAAGCAATTTAAATGCGACCTTTGCGACAAGGGTTTTAGGCAGAATTCAGACTTGAAACAGCACATAAGAACTCACACGGGAGAAAGACCCTACAAGTGCTCCCTTTGCCTAAAGGCCTTTCGGAGCAAAGGCCATCTTAAGCGCCATGGTGTTTGCCACTCTAAAGACCGACCCCACAAGTGTTCCCATTGCCTGGCAACTTTTTCCCTGAAAGCACACCTACAGCGACACATCCGAATTCACACGGAAGAAAAGCAATTTTTTATTTAAAATGTTAATAATAAAATGGATAAATATTTGATTTTTATTTTTAAGCATTACAAATTAAAAAAAGTCAAGTTACACTAAAAATAACTGCTAATTTTTTTTAATTAAAACATCGATGAAACATCGATATTTTTCGCCAAAATCATTAAAAACATCGATGTTTGTGAACATCTCTATCCACCCTATCCACATTACATTTAGTGTAACCAATCACACTAACAGAAAATACCCTTCGATACCAAATGGTGGTTAGAGCTTTGAACTTAAAAGGTAAACAAACAACCAAATACTCAAATATTTAAATAAACATATCAAGGAGATGCCACAGGCTCTTCATATTCCGCCCTCTTAACTTGAAATAAGTAATCATACTCTCTCCGAGAAGCCATGCTTCCGCCTTCGACTGAAGGGATTAAATTTAATAACTCAAACCATTTAATCGAAGAATAGGTAAGAAGAAAAGAAGTAGATAGTTAATTAACTATCAATATACATACATATATGTAATTTTAGAGCCATGGAGAAAACATGTCGAGTTTGCTTGGAAAAGTCTGCAAACGCGGTCAATGTTTTCGAGGTTCAAAAAGATTTCGAAGTCTCTACTGCGCACATCATATCCAAATGCACCGGTTTTAATATTACAAAAGGAGACTCATTTCCGGAATTCATTTGCCCCACGTGTCTCAAAGATGCGCAAAATGCGTTCAAGATAATAAAAACTTACGAACGGAGTAACCTAATCTTCTGTGAAGTGATGGATGCCATTATAGATACAGATTCGGCGGAAGATGAGATTCTTACAATATCGGACAGCGAAAGTGAGAGGTCGGAGTCTACTCAGGGATCAGATTCAAATGGAAACAAAGTAACCACGGACGATGACACTGATATAGGTGAGTCGCGGTCGGGTCTTACCCACCATGGCAGAGTTCACTCGGACGAATGGGCCTACAAGTGCTCCCTATGCCTAAAGGCCTTCCGGAGCAAACGCGATCTTAAGCGCCACGGTGTTTGCCACTCTGAAGACCAACCCCACAAGTGTTCCCACTGCCAGTCAACTTTTTCCCTGAAAGCACACCTACAGCGACACATCCGAATTCACACGGAAGAAAAGCAATTTAAATGCGATCTTTGCGACAAGGATTTTAGGAAGAATTCAGACTTGAAACGGCACATGAGAACTCACACGGGAGAAAGACCCTACAAGTGCTCCCTTTGCCTAAAGGCCTTTCGGAGAAAAAGCCATCTTACGAGCCATGGTGATTGCCACTCTGAAGACCGACCCCACAAGTGTTTCCATTGCCTGGCAACTTTTTCCCTGAAAGGAAACCTACAGCAACACATCCGAATTCACACGAAAGAAAAGAAATTAAAATGCGATCTTTGCGACAAGGATTTTAGGTACAATTCAGCCTTGAAAGAGCACATGATAACTCACACGGGAGAAAGGCCCTACAAGTGCTCCCTATGCCTAAAGGCCTTCCGGAGCAAACGCGATCTTAAGCGCCACGGTGTTTGCCACTCTAAAGACCGACGCCACAAGTGTTCCCATTGCCTGGCAGCTTTTTCCCTGAAAGCAAATCTACAGCGACACATCCGAATTCACACGGAAGAAAAGCAATTTAAATGCGATCTTTGCGACAAGGATTTTAGGCGGAATTCAGACTTGAAACGGCACATGAGAACTCACACGGGAGAATGACCCTACAAGTGCTCCCATTGTCCGAAGGCTTTTTTCCAAAATTCTACTCTAAGAAGGCATTTAGAGATTCATTAAAAAAAAACACATGCAACTTTGTACAATATCAATATTAGTTACAATACTGAAAAAAAATGGTTCACTGAATTAAAATGACCAATTTAAAAAAAAAACACGTGTTTCGTCTTCTCGCAGTCGGTAGGATTCGAACCTACGCTCCCAGAGGGAATCTGATTTCTAGTCAGACGCCTTAACCGCTCGGCCACGACTGCATGTAAGCTGTGCGTTCGTTTGTGCAACTGGTTCTGCAATACGGCAACCAATACCAATTGAAAGTGATTCGACGCACATATGTAGTTAGGTTGCTTTGGCATTTTACAACACTGAACTTTAAATTTTCTTCAAATTGAGCGCCAAATGAAAACATACTTGCAGTTTTATTTTTAGTTTCGTTTAATATTCCTGTAACAACTTCCACCCATTTTTATCCGTTTATTGATAAATGCTAGCAATTCATTTTCTTAAAACATTTAATAAACACATTAAAATTTACAAAACAAGGTAGGGCAATTCTCACGGCAGCAGCAATTGATGCCGCACTTGGTGTTCATGCTCAGACAGGTTTCCTGGTCCCAATCGATGGAAAGGATTGCTATGGAGAGCATATAATTAGGGGTATAAGTATGTTTTTTCGTTATTTGATTTCAGTAAAATACTCACGGGCATAGCCATCCTCTAGCCTGGCGGCGTTTTGCTTGTCCAGTTCGCGCCTGGTAATGGTTACATAGGTGAATGGCATTCCAGCAGTGCAATGTGTGTCCAGAAGACAACGCCCCTTTGCAGCGCAATTGCATGGACCTAATTTCGGTGGTTCCGGGGCCGTGTAGACGCACTGAGGTCCACAGCAGGTATTATCGCGGGGCGGCAACTTGGGCTCCTTGATGCCATTATCCACGCAGTTGTTCCAACCCGTAAACGGCTGGCAGGACCTCTTTTTACAGGCCGATATGGTGAATATTAAACAGGCTAGGATTTGAACAATCAGCAGTAGTCGTCTGGCGTCCATCTTAACTTACGAATGATCCCTTGAAAAACCGCCTGCTTTTATACCCCGCCTAGAGCAGCAGTTCCTTTATATTTACACAATTGCAAAACATGTTGCATTAAAAATAACTCAGCTTTAGCGACAGGAACACTATAAAAGGGTCGGCATTCATGCCACTCCATCTGAGAAGTGTTCGAAATGGCTGCCAAGATTCTGCTGAGCCTTTTGCTCCTTTCTGTTGCCTCCGAGTTGGCTTTGGCATGTGGCAAGAACCTCTGCCCGGTGGTTGAGAACCACAACAGACTCTGCCGGGGAAAGCTTCAGCACCAGTGCGTCTGCGATTTCACCTGCTCCGAATGGGATAAACCCTGCAATTGGGTCGTCAGCTGTGAAGCCGAGATCGAGAACATCAATATATACCGCAGCAAGAAGAACAAGCTTCGTAAGTTGTCCTTACCTTTTTATGAAGTCCTAAAACTACGCATACTATTATTTATTTTTCAGCTGTAATAAGACTACCACACAAGAGCCATCAGGAGTGTCTGGAAATCAATGTTAAGACGCACAATCACACAAACTGTTGCAACTTGTTCTGTTCTCTTAATATAAGGGACGTGTGCTTCTAAATAAATATATATGCTGGTTAAAAAATTATTTTTACGAGTATCTTTTAAGGTTTCAAAGTTAAAATCTACAGCTTCACGAGTAAAATACTTAAGAAGTTGGAGGGTTCATTTGCCATTTTATTACAATGACCTAAATATTTATTTGATTTCTTTTGCTTTATTAATTTTATTTCATTTATTGCAGCTGGACATGTTTTTTACTATAGTCCAAAATTATCCATTAACTTTGCACAGGTGTTTTTCTTGTCTGTTTGTTAGCCTTGAAGAAATGCGACGAAATTGTAACAGTTGTTTTTAATTTTATTGATTTAAATTAAAGAAGCTATAATAAACTTTTGCCTTGTTGTGAAAGAAGCAAAACCAACCCCACTTTTAATGCCTTATTTTCCAAATATTATATTGTTTATTCATTTACTTTACAAATATTCCATGTACACACATATTACTAATGTTAAATAGTTTTTACAGCTTATTTGTTTATTGATAGCTACTTATCGATTAGTATCTTAGGTCTCTAAGTGCTTGTTTTAGCATGTATTTACAGTTTCTGTTTTAGTTAACATTAAATGCATTCTTAGTCGGTATTTTTTAGTTAAGCCTACAAATGTTCTAAAGTACACGACTAGTTTAAGTCGTACATCAGCTTCTCGGCATTATTAGGTTCCTCGCAGTCGAACGAAGCCATCATTAATTCTGCAAAAAACAAACAAGTTTGGTATCAAAATATTCAGTCAAAATGGAATAAAAGAAAAGTGCTATTTAAGTTTCTCTGGCCACTTGATTGAAAACGACACTCAAGCGGAGACAGGACTCAAGGACACGCTCCAAATACGTTTGTACAAACACAATCTAAATTGTCCGAAAAAATCTCAGTGATGCGTGCGAAAATATTTGACTCATACTCTATCAAAGGATAACATGATTTTTTGTATGATTAAATAAAAGATTTTATTAGTGACTTAACTGATTTTCTTACAGAAACTGTTAACCCTTTCAGCAGATAACAAATTGTTTTTAAACCAAGAGAATATAGTTTCTCATAAAGAGCATTTGGAGTTTCGGCTGGAATTTCTTTATTTTGGTTGACCAGTGTTTCATCCGGCACGTGTTTAAGGCCAGGCCTTGAGTCATTTGTTTATTTTTAGACAAAACACAGAGTAGCAACTCAAAGTTTGGGTATTCAATTAAAATTCATGAAGCCATTACGAAAAAATATAACAACTTGCAGGAGAAAACAATTCAATATGAACTTCTGGAATGTCGATTAAGCCTAAACTTATTTTTAGTTTGGAAAAAATATTTAGAGTTTGCTAAAGATATGTTAAAATCCTGTGCTATTCAGCTTTCATGTTCTACGCACATTTTTGGGTTACCACAAGAGGACCGGGCTTAAAAACAGTTTAACTAGAACGGCTTGCACCGGAACTCATCCCGGGATGGGTTAACTTCTGGTCAAGTGCTGACAAGTGCGGGATCTTTTTTTGGGTCGGACCACTTGCATTTTAATAGAAGGAAATTTAATAAAGTTGTAAGAAAAAAGGCGAGCTTTTTCCGCATATGAATGGCTGAAGTGGAGCGGAGGTTGGGGGCAGTGTCCAATTCACACCATGAGCACCATTAAAATTTTACAATGTTTGGTTGCTGCCTCGTTTGGTCAGCGCTTCTGGCCAACAGCTGTGCGCTTGACTTGCCGCAAAATGTGGCACGCCCTGGCCACCTATATCTTGGTCCTACGGAAATCCTCCTTCCCAAACTCAACCCTCGGCTTGTGTGTGTTTATAGGATTTGTGTTCACATACTCCGTATGCCCGAGCACAAAAAATTACAAAACATCCGCACGAGCCGGAGAATGAGAATTTTCAGAGTTGAGCCGGCAGCATGAAGAAATGTTGCCGTTGGTTATGGAACATGGCGAAGCCAGGACCCTCTTCTGCCACTTTTTTTATTTCATTTTTTGTGCCAGAAGAGAGGACAGAGGACAGAGTCCTTTCTTTCCACGCTCTTGTTTAGTTTTAATGGAGTCGTGTGTGGCGTGTAAATATTTCCCCTGCCGGCCCATCTGAAGATTTGTGAGGCGGCTCGGTTCGGTTTGGCTGGGTTTTCGGTGTGGTTCGGTGGCGTTTGGAACTTGTTACTTTCGAGGGCGTAAACATCGGGTATTTCGCCACCCACACAATGTCTAACGAGCGGTTAGCAGTCAGGAGTCAGTTGGAAAAATCGAAGAAATATGAGAGAGCGGCTTATCTTTGAGTGCAACCACAAACTGATTGCTGTGGCAAGCCTGCATTTGCAAACACTTTTATGCGTATTGGGGAAAGTAGACTTCGTCGGCTCAGACACTCAGGCCCAAATCCATTAGGAGAATAACTAAACAAGAATTTTACGAGAATTTACTTTATTCTACCAAACAACAAGGACTTTGAAGGAAGCAAAATAAGTTTAAGTTTTCAATGCTTTCTATATTTTTCCAATATATAATTGTTATTAAAATTTCAACATCCTTATAAGAATTTCTTTAAAGAATTACTTGCATGTGTCACCTGGAAAAAAGATTCCGGGTGTTGCGAAGTATCCACGTCACGCATCTGGCCAAAAATAATAGATCCTCCTTGAAGACAACGAAAAATGGGCATCTCCTCGTGGCAGGAGAAATATTTCCAGACTCAGTGAGGCATCAATTACTTTGGCCAGGCTTGGAGACCAAACAATGGCCGACAGCCGTAACTACTGTAAAATTGTTTTGACTCCGGCCGAGATGAGGAGCACAAGGATGACAGACCGGACAGGTGATAGATAACGAGGACAGTCGACGGTCATTTTTACTCAGCCGGGCAGAAGGTCCTGGGGAATTCTGGTGCAAGATAAAAACGAAATCTGCCCACAACTGAATGCCAATAACGTGCTGCTGTCACTGGGCTTAGGATGAGATGTTCCGGAGAAGCGGGAGAACTGGGGGACAGTAACTAACTGCAGTTCCCCCATATCTATATGTATTTATCTGGAATGTCTGAACTGTCGGACGGGCTGTCTAGTTCCTGCTGACAGTGACTAAAACAATATAAATCTGCGCATTTTTTGCTGCCAATGGCAAAATGCAGGTTGTGTTCTATTCATATTGGAATCGAAAAAGGGGTTTGTAAATAAAAAACTGTTTTCTATATTTTGTAACCATAAAAAATTAATCATATTGTAAATTATATTTTTAGTTTTACTTTAATAATTTAATTACAAAAGTACTCCTATGGAATTGGTAGATGAACAATTTTAATTTCGACCTTTAACAACATGGATACTAATTACATTTGCATCTGGCATGAAATTTATAATTTAATTTATAGTTTAATTATCGGGCAAACGATGTTCAGATTGGACCGGACAATCTACCAACAACCAGAATCGGTGAATGACTTTGCATTGCCATTGAGCTTGGGATAAGTTGCCAGAGATTTTGCCTAATGAATAGCAAGCCTTTGGTTTGAAGCCCCACCATTGACTCTGCCCTAATTACCATATCCAGAGCCAAATGAGCACAATTGAAATAACACATGCCCAAGAAGCACTCGGCAAATAGATATGCATTAGTGAAATGTAGTATTCGGGATGCTTGTGGGAAATTCCTGGGACTTGTTGGCCTGATTATGTGGTATTTGGCCAGCTCTCGCTTGGAGTTGTCTTTGTTAATGGCAATTAACCGTTTATTTAGCAAATTTTGAGGTCCTGACTTTTGACACCCACTCTGTAGACCATTATTATTTTAAAGGAACTGGAAAAGGCAAGCAAATTCGCTTTCGCATTCCCAGCCGGGAAAATATTATTCTTAGCCACTTCCCTCGCACATCTAAATGCAATTTCTGCACATTGTGCTTTGGCATTTGTGAGATGCTTTTCCCAGTCCTCTTTTTCCATTTCCCAGGCAGACGTGCCGCATCAAATAGGCATATCTGGTCTCGCATTTTCCTGGGCAGGATCAGGATGAAGGGGGAACAACAAGGCATCCAAGGACCTGCCAGCCATTCAAGAGGATGACGTTTTTTTTCGGTGCAGCGCTTGTCCTTTTGACTCCTTCCTCCTTTTACCAGTCATATCACATACTGAAGTGCCTGCCTGACACAACAATGCTCATGTCTTCATAGTCAGCGAGTGTGTGTAGTGTGTAGCTAGATTTACAAAGCAAAATAAATAAAATGGAGTAAAAATAAGGCCAGGGAAGTGCGGGCGAGGGGGGAAAACAATTAAATGCCTTTGTGATCCTTTGATGCGATTTTGAAAGCATTCTTTTAGCAGTTTATGCTAAAATGTTTGCTGGCATTTTCTTTAAATTCGTTTTGTGTGGAAGTGAAACAGATTTTTATTTGAAAAGAAATTTTTGTTTAAAAGCTGTTTAGCTGAATTAAATGATGGTTAATGCGGGAATTATGCCTGATAATTCTTTTAAATAGCTCGTGGTCTTATGCTGTAGCAACCATGAATACTTTGTTGGCCATTTACAGCGTTTACCAGCTCATAAATCAGCTCTGCTTCTTTTGAAATTTCCCTGATCGCATTGCACTAACCAACGAAGCGAAGCATTCCACCGGCATTTCAGTCGACTTAAATCCGACATATTTCCCCCGAGGTCTTAACAGAGTGAACCAGAGTGAGCCAGCAGACAATTACCTCCACATTAAGGGGTTGTTATTAAAAAATTCCTGACATGGCCAACATATTTCCCAGCTTAAGTGAGTGCAGGGCCGAGAGAAGGGAAAAGTGTATATAATTCGCTGGGCTGCACTCGCTGTTCGCTTTTTAATGTCAGGTGGAAACTTTCAAGAATGCGCCGCCTCCCAAGATTAAGGGCATAAAAACCGAGAATAAGTACTTGTTTAGTCGCAGGCGGGGAAATGAAAACACGAATGGCTTAAATCAACTCAAAATGCTGTACAAGTGCTCCAGCGGGGCCGAGGGATAATAAAGAAAGGATGAAAGGACGAAACAAGGGGCGATTATATACCACCAACCAAAGCGATGCGACGAGAGTTGATTAAAGTCATGTAATTTGACAGACAGTATATTAAAGTTTTTTCCCTCCCTGCGGTTGGACATCGCAAGAAGGATGCCCGTACATATATATAGTATCTGTCGCACTTTCAAGAGTCCTTGACAGCAAGACGGCCAGCAGGTGGCGCTTTGCTGGCTACACTTCCGCTCCTTTCCGCTTCCGCTGGCTGCCTATAAACAAGATTATGTCTCGGCGCGGCTCAGTGTGTGAGAACCTGATAAATAACTATGCTGGGGGTTATCCTGCGCACATTTCATTAAGGGGCACAACTAGTGTGACATTTCAAAAAAATCTTTTTTTTTTTCTTTCATATTTTGGTAGATAAAACCTTTAAAAATAACATATTAAAATTTCAAATCGATATCTTAAATAGTTTTTGAGTTATAGAAATTTTAAGAGCAGCCGCTCGTATGGCAGTGAATACGATCATTTTATCTTTAAACGCGTTTTTCTCGAAACTGCATTTTCCGAATTTGCTGCAGTGATAACTCAAAAACTAATGATCCGATCACTATCAAATTTTTTTTACGTGTTCTATATATAGTCCTCCCTACAATGACCTATCGGTTTTTTGATCTGATCAAAAATCGAATTTTGGCAAGCCAAAAACGACCAAAATTTTGGGTAAAATTTGATTTTTTTTTTTCAAAACGCCGCCATTTTGTCAATTTTTGATATTTTTTTTTTATCATAGGTCATTGTATGGACAATATCATCTAGTTTAACGAGAATTTTTAATATTTTGATTTCATCCACGGAGAAGGCCGGAATCACTGCAGCAGTTGGGGCACTTTTTTTTTTAGTGCCGTTGGAGATCGGCTCTAGCTTAAAAAATATTTAATTTTTTTCTTTAAAAATTTTACTGTATATTCTTCAAACATCTATAAATATATTTTTTTTATAAAAATTCCCAAAAATCACCATTTTTTTAGGCCGTCACACTAGTTGTGCCCCTTAAGTCGGTATAATTCCATCAGACGAAAGCGCCTTCGGCCTTTCGCCGAGTGATATAAGCAGACCAACATTTATTTATGCACTTTTCGAAAGTGCATCAAACTTGGAAATAACTTTTAGACTTGCTCAGTTTTTTTTCTCCCACTGGAACTTCGTTTGCATTCACGTTGCTGACGTCGGCTTAAAGTTTAGACCAACTTTTCGACTTGGTGGACAGTTTTTCGTTTGGGTTTTTAGAAAAGAAACTGATTTAGAAGATTTTCGTTTGAGTTGGCCAAACAAGCAACTGCATAAGAATGCCACCAAGCCGGGAAAAAGAGGACAGCCTGGAAAACAAGTTTGACATCGATGCAGCATCGAAAACAAATATTGCCACAATAACAAATCCTACTTTCAACTAGGACTTGGCTAAGTCCTAATGCGGTAAACAAAACGAAGGCAAATGGTTTCTAATCTCTTTTTTCTATGCTTTGAGAGAACTCTGAAGAAAACTCCGAAATAAAGTTTTCACTTATCTAAAGCCATACAAATCTTTTAAAAAAGGAAATGCTGGTAATAAAAATGTTCTGCTCCTTTGACCACAACAAATTTTAGCCTCCTTAAGGCAAGATTCGGATGAATTAAAATTACTTAACATGCAGGTAAAAAAGATCATAAACACCATTTTATAGAGCGTCCTAAGCTTGCTTTAAATGAATATAGAACCTGGCTGTACATTTGATTATTAGAAAAAATGTGGAAGAATAATAAAAACATTTTTAGCTGCCCTAAAACACACAAAGAAAATTTCCCCAGCAACGTTTTCCACCTCGAAAAGCTCACTACACACGTGTAAATAAAGATTTCTTGGTTAGCCAGCCTTCGCTTTGTGTTTCCCCAGCAAATCTCATTTGCCTCCCCGTTATGCATGACATGAAGCACTCCCCGATAAAGTTTTCCAGCCCGAGGCTCAGGCTGTTGATTTTCCAAACACAAAAAATGCTTGCCTCCATAAGTTTTCATTCTCCGGCGTTTTTTTTTGCTTTTAACTTCCGCTTCTGTCAAGATGCGTTTTGCCGCAACACCCAAAGACAACTTCTCCGTACGCCTTTGTTGGTATTTGTGCTGTTTTCGCCACTGGCGAAAGCCTTCAAAAGTTGCCTTCTGCTGCCTTGGTTTATAATGAGTTCGTAGATCCTGTGTGAGAGCTCTGGGCTTGTGTTGGCAGATGTGTTGATGGCTAAGAGTACCGAAATGCAGCTACAAAGTATCTAGCAGATGTGGTCCTTACTCCAAGTGACTATTTGTTTAAACCAAGTAGTAAACATATTCCTAATAACGTTACAAGCTATATATATATTGGGTCAAGTACCTCACTCATTTTACTAAAAGGTTTTTAAAATATAATACTAGAAGTAAGCACAATATGCTTTAAAAGGTTAAAAAGTAGCTCATTTTTCATCACTGTTTGTCGCCTTTCATTTCTGCACTTTCTTGCTGCTGTTTGATGTCTCTGCTCGCTTTCGTGCAACGCGCTCTTGCCTCCATCTCGTATAGTTTTTCAGGTTTTTTGTCATGTGCACATTCCGTGAAAAATATATCAACTTGCCGGGCATTGCTGACAGCTCCAAGAAGGATTTACACAAAAAAAGGAGAACGCTCGAGAAAAACTTTTTACGCCGTACGAAAACACGTGGTGCACCTTGTTGCAAGGTTGTTTTGTTGCCTCTTCGGGGGAGCTGTTTTGTATCTTTGTGTGCCGTCTGGGGCTTGAAGATATGGGAAGTTTATATTTAAGAACTAACAAAGGCTTTTCCATCAGAAGTTTCAGGATGTGCGGATTAATTGAAGGTTTTTAAAAGCTAAATGTATTTGCTCGGAGGAAAAATCTTTTTGGGTCTCTTACAATGAATTTAATTTTTTTATACATTTTGAAGTAATCACTTTAATTTTTTAAGTGCAACCTGTTTTAGCCAGTTTTTTCTGGAATTTTATCTTTTGACTTAAAAGCATCCAATCAAATATGCAAATTTTTTACAGCGAAAAAAGTTTGAAACATAGTTTGGCCACATAAAAAATGTGTATAATTCTCGCATTTCGTTTTTTTAAGGTATTCAACTGAAACTGTTTGTAAGAGGGAAGCGCCATTTAATTTAGCATAAATAACGAGCAATATTGTCCACTAAATCTCGCCCTAAGCCTGCTCGCCTAGTTTGTCATCATCAGTAATAAAAACAAAGGCCAAGAAGCAACAGCCCGGAAACGAATTGTGATAAAAACAAGGGTTCCCCTAGAGTAATGAAAAGAGTTGGGTGGAAAATAAGGAAATAAGAGTAGTCCTCCGCTAAGTTTTATCCAAGTTCATGAACATTTTGTGGTCGTAAAGTGTCTGTCTGTGGTTTTATTGCGGTTATTAATTTGAATTAATTAGCGCAAATCTGCTAAAGAAAGGGGTTGAAGGTAAGGGGATGAATAGGAAGAAAATACGGCGGACCAGCAGAAGCTACAATATTGCATTTACTTTAAACCGATGGCCAAATATAATTTGCGGTTCTCGTTTTAAGTGTTTATAAACTAGTTTCCATATTCCCTTGTTGGTATTTGGATTATCGTTTAGTTAATCGGCGTGTGAACTGTTCTGTGTAAACAGCCGCGATGCCTTCAAATTCATCCCGTAGGAATAAGAAACATAAACAGTTTTTGGAAAATGTGTTCGATAACCCACTTAAAGTTATAGAGTCAGAAGTTTAAAAACTTGTAAGTTTCTTTAAAGCTGAAAGTCAATCATTCCATTGCAAATGGTATAAATTCAAGTATAACAAGAATTAACTTTTCCCTTAAAAAATCTGCTAAGATATTTCTTAAAAGAAATCTTTTCTTAAAGGGCATGAAAACCAGTACTAGTCGCCGAATGCTAGTGAAAAATGTGCAAAAACACGATAAAAAACGTGGAGGGTGCGAGGGAACAACTAGTTTCCAACGAGGGGCGTTCAAGGGGTAAGGTGTGGACTTCTGTGAGTGGTGAATATTACTTACCCGCCTCGCCAAGTTTTGTAGTTTTTTGCATGTGCCGGCAGAAGTGCTCATACTCGCCGCTAGATGGCGCCGGGGCCGCCTTCATCGCCTGCATGTGTTTGGTGAACGCGCCCACAATGGCCGCCATTCGATCGAAGGCCGCCATATTGATGTGGCCATTTGCTAAGCTGCAAGAAGCAGAAAACCCGGAGAAAGCAGAGAGGAAAACATAAGTGCGAGTCTGAATGGTGAGAAAAGTATGTTTTGCTGGCTAGTAAAAAGCCATCGCTTGTGTTTGGCATGCAAAATGGAAAAGGCAATCCAAAAAAAAGACAAGGGAACTGGGAATGTAGAGATACACTCAAAAATCCTGCATTTATTATACTTCCCATGTATAATATTATGCAAGCAAAGTATCCAATTATTTTATTTATTTACAAAATTTTACCAATTTAAAATAACTAATATATACGAGTATTTTAAAAATGCGGTTCTGAATATAAATGATCAAAAATCCAACAGAAAAAAATTATTTTTTTCAGTCAATAAATTAGAATGTAGAAGCAACGCAATTAATTCAGAAACGGTCCGTTTAATTAGGCCATTGAAAGGTTTTCGCGCTTAGACGCTTCATTTCATCGCGAAACTCGATGCGACATTGAAATTCGTTGAATGAATGCGGATTCATTCCGCATTTTTCTATGGCAACTACTGCGCTCTGATTATATTTCAGCGGATAAATTGCTCCGCCGGTATGTACATACGAGTAAACGCATTTGTGAGTCTAATGAGGTCAATTGTGGCCACCAGTGGTCGGTGGTGCATACTTTATTGTTTGTTTCAGCTCGTATCGCCCGGTCAAAAGGGAGCACTGCACATGGAGGGGATTTGGGCCACAAAAGGGGTGCAAGGACTCGGATTTGGTTTAGGATTCTAAATGTCGCACTCAGGGGAAAAATTAAAGCAACTGAAAATAGTCAAAATGAAAAAAGATAGATATTGAAATTTATATGGATAAGTTTAAAGGCATGATATTAATCTAGAAGATAAAAAATCAATATTAAAATTTTTCAATTTATTTACAAGATAAATTAAACAATTAAAGCGGCAATTTGTAGATAAAAGAATCAACGTAAAATCTCGTGTAAATTTTTTCGTGATCATTTTACTGCTGTTTAAGCCCATTTTAGAAAAAGAAAAATATATTAATTTCCCTCTTCAGTGCCTGCCAATAAAAACAAATAAATTCAAAAGAGAAAACGGTATTTATGTTCTTTTTTATGGAATTTCATTAAAATGATTTTCCCCTTGTCGTTTGGCACATAATCATTTATTTCGCCACTCTGTGGTTAATTAAATTTGAAGCGTAAATAAATATAAATAAGAGTATAAATGCGTTTGGGAGGTGAGCGGAGGGAAAGTCGAGTGGAAATGCGATTGTTGGCGATTGCAAATGGGCAATATATTAATCATACGACCTCTTGGCCGGGCAAATATATATTCGCCCTGGATTTGGGTCTCCCCACGAGACGATGCCGAATCAATCAGGGTGGGCAAATTGAACTTACCGCTGCAAACAGTTCTCACGCTCGCCCAATGCCAGTTTAACAATATCCGCAAACACTGGAATAACAACCCAATCATTTGGCTTGCCCGAAGTTGCCAGCGGTGTGGTTGTTGCTGCCGCCGGGCCCGATGTTGCTGCCGCACATGTTGCAGTTGCCGGTGCGGCATCCACATTGCTGCTGCTGCCAGCCGCAGGCTCTGGGCCAGTTTCTATTGTTGCAGCTGACGGAATGCAGACGAAAAAACATTGTTATAGAAGGGTAGAAATTCAAAACATTTTTGGTATCAAAAAAAAATATTCGTGATTTGCGTTATCAAAGTTTCCTACTTAGGGTAACTTGCTATATACTTGGGTATCAATGTTCCAAATAAAATATATGAAATGGAATTTGAACAATTTTCCATGGAACAATATAAAAATAAAATCAGCCACATTTTAAAATAAGTATAAATATTATTTGGGAAATATTTGAAAATCACATTGCGCGTAGTTACATTTAAATTTAAAGCAGATAGGTTTTATTTTCTGTGCACCGGATTGCAATCTTACCGGAAGTGCCTGGGATGCCAGTCACTCGCCCACTTGTCGAGGGCTTCTCATCCGGGACGGCGATTGCAGGGGCCATTGAGGGCGTGGCAGGTCCCCCGCCCCCTCCCGCAGCTGCCTCCTCCTTGGGCTGCTTATCAGTCTTGAGACCCTCTTGCTGCTCATTTAAGACGATGGCCTGCTTCTGCCACAAATGTCCATGGCCCTCGGCGTGGCGCTGCATGCAGTCCAATTGTTGACACGTCACTTGCAATTTACTCCACTGTAATCAAATCGAAATCCATAAATGAGCATCATTTGGAGTGGCCATCTTGATACGCTGCCCCATTCTTCCCGGCTTTTCGTTCTGTTTTCGGATTTTTGCCTCGCCTCTCGGGCTGTAAAAGTTTATGGTTTTGTTTGTTTTGTCGGTCCGTGTGAGTTTTATGCTGGTAATTTTCCCCCGAAAGCTTTGGATCGAATTTTATGGGCGACATTTGGCCTTCGCCTGATAACATATTAATTAGGATTTCCCGGGGCATCAGGGAAAAGCTTTCGAGGGGATTTTACAAGCATTAAACTGAAAAGAGGACACCATCTTAAGCAAGATCTCGGTAATTTATTGCGGTTTCCATTGAAAAGCATTCGAATTTGTGTTCGAGAGAGCCAAAAGTTGGTCGCTCGTTAGGAAAGACATTAATAATAACATTTTTTACACCTCTGGTTGTGCTGTAATTTAAAGTTTCGAGTTTTTCGTGAATGCACTCGGGCACATTTATTGCCGTCATCCAATGCGGACTCATAAACATTTCAGAAGCAGCTATAGAAATATATTTGTATATATCTTTCGGAGCACAATGCATGCGACACGCCCACTTTTTTCCGCTCGAATCTAGCAAAGTTCTGTAAATTTATGCAATTCCCTTTACTTTTTTATTTGGCAGGAGTTTTGGTTTTTTTCGATTCTCACTGCATACTTTTCAGCGCCCATTGTCCGCAGAATTTATGGCTGAAAAAGTGCGGCAGAACTAAAAATTAAAATATGGCACACAAAAGGTGGGCAAAAGGATTAAAGTAACTATTTAAGTTTTCGATTTTCGAGCTTTGTAGATTGATGAGTGCGCTGCCCTTTTTATAATTATGCTTGCAATTTTTTACATATTCCCATTTACTGCATGAAATAAAAGTTTTAATTAGAGCGGCTTACGTTTTGTAAGAACATAAAACAAGGTTATCCGAGTGCTTGTTGCTGGAAAACAAAAGCATAACATAATTTAAATCCCAAATGGCAAAAGGGAGAAAACATCCGTGATGAATAAATCATGAGCCGAAGGCATTTAAGGCACCGAAAAGTAGCATTAAGTAACATTTAACTTGATATTTTCATTATGAGTGGCCAAAAAGATGGCAAAGCCCGGTGTTAAATGGCGGGCAACAAAGGGAAGCAGCAATGCGCAATCCATTAACTAATTAAAAAGTTTTTAATGAAAACTAGCTTCATTTGCTGCTGAATGCACGGCAACACGTTGTGGTCTATTGAAGGAGTGGGAAATGGAAGGCGGAAGGCCGCAGGACGAAGGACGAAGGTGCGGGCGATGTGCCAAATAAGTGAGTAAATATATAAACTTGATGAAAGTGGGCCAACTGCAGCGAAAATGTGGTTGCTTGGGCGTGGTCATCTCTCTTTCAGTTCGCCCCCTCAATTCATTTTTGTTTCTTTTTTTGGCAGACAGAGGAAACCATCCTGTCGGTGGAAAAACTTTCGTTGTTATGACAGCATCGCAAAAACTGCGTATTAAAAATGGTTTCTTTCATTAAATAACACAGTTTTAAGAGCGAGCTGCATAACAAGTGATGTCATACAGGAAATAAGCTGAATAAATATTTTAAAAAGGCATAGCAAAAATCAAATGCTTTTTAATTCACAGACAAAAGCATCTCCATTTCTTTTTAAATATTTAACTTAATACCATCCGACCAAACCCGAATAAGGCTCTAAATCTTTTAAGCTTCTTTTCGCCAAAATGCATTAGGCTGCATAAATATCTGCTGACACGAGCAAATATTCTAGGCATTGGTCCAGCCTCAAGGCGAAAGGATTTTCCTCGAGTTTACACACATAGAGAGTGAGGAAAAAGGATATGAGAGAAGGTAAGTAAAAGGTTTCTTTATGAATTCATTTGAAGGCGGCTTTATCTTTAATTTAGAATAAAGTTTCAAAAAACTCAATAATTAGAGAATTTGGAAAAATAAATAAATGACATATGTAAGTCGGCTGTTCTTAATTTTGTATAAGCAAATAAAATAAGTGTATTCATTCGTTCGGCTTTCCCTTTCTTTTGAGTAAAAATGGCCCCAAGGCGCAGTTTTCTAACTTTTAACAGCATGCAATTACAGTGCACACATAAGCATTCAGTATTCAGTATTCAGTGCAAACTCGCATGGCAAATGGAACAATTTTATTATCCTTGCTCGTTTCCTTGTAGTCTTTGCGCAAATGATTATACTGGTTCTTTCGCTTGCGATAACTTTGGCTTAGCTTAAGTTTCAGATCTGCGAGTTTATGGAAATTTGCTCGTGGAAATGTTTGCTCCACGCCATGTGGAAATGTCATTGCATTGATGTCTGGGCCAAATGATATTCCATTTGGCTTAGTGACTTGCCACGCATTATTTTATGCGGAGACCGCCGTTGTGTTGTTTAAGTCCAATTAAAGTTTCACTGCGCAATTTGCCGGGGGAATTATGAACCGAAAACCCATTTCGCCGCCTTGCCACGTAATTTGCCTATAAAATTGTTGTCTATTTAATTTCAAGCATTTATTTCCCAAATTTATGGAGGAGCACGTTCGTGTGTCTGTCATTACTCGCAGTATTTTAAGTTTGAATCGGTGGAAATTAAGTTCTGCTGTTGCCTTCCGAAAGTTTAAGAATTTCCGTGATTTCGGCATGTTTAAACTTCTAACAGGTTTGTAAACTTTTACACAGTTTTCCCAATTAAATTGATTCTGAAGCGAGTATTTATGTGTATTGTGTGAATTAAAGCTGCATATCAAATTGAAGCCTAATTATTGTTTGCGAACACAAAAGTATCAATCCTTTTCGAATTAAGCCCCAGCGGCTAGTTAATTATAGCCAACAAATTCTATCCCGCAGTAATAAATTTGTCATTAAATAAGTTTTTGTTTGCGATAATGAAACCAATTTAAATTAGATTTTCGCGACTGATACATGAAACCATGAATCAGCCGCGTTTTTTGGGGTCGTGATTAATTACAGCTTTACACAAATTAAATTGAAATTATTCGGCGTAGTTTTTGATAGTTTACTCACCGTAACTTTAAGCCTGGCAATGGCCGGGGATTCCAGGGACTCCAGAATGGCAGTGGCACTGTTGTAGTTGCCCACCAGCAGGCAGTATTGGGCCACTCCGCTCCAGAGTTCCACGGTTCGACTGCGGCCTTCGATGCCACCGCTCTGGAAGTGGGTAAAACAATGATGTGGCAGTGGACAGGGGGAAAATGAAAGATTTATTTGATTACGGAAGTTAGTTAGACGATACGGGGGAAAGAGGGGGAGAAAGGGGAAAGGGGGAAGGTATCGGACATGGCTGGACCCACGTGACTTGGCCAAAGTTTTAACGAGTCGCTTACACGGCCAACTGGCAAACTGTCAATGAGACAGTTACGAACGGCATAAATTATAAGCCATCTTACCAGCCTGCCTGCCTGCCTGCATGCTCCGCTCATACAGCAGCGGTCACAAAAATGGTGCTGCCAAGGTCATTTAAGATAGAATTAATATTCAGCTATCATGGTTAAAGGATCATTTGAAGTATTGTTAAACAACAAATTCATTGCATTGAAGTAATAGAAAACAGCTCATAGCTTAAAAATATTCTTATTCTGTAGGCAAAGGTTGCTATTGTCCCGACCTCTGCTGTAGGGAACAGGACCTCTCGGACGTGCTCTACCTTGCATATTCAACATGCATGGGAATTTTAATTCAATCCACTGGGTCCAAGGACCCGTGCGCTCCGTTAAACTTCGCAACGACCCGCTCAAAGTGGAGTTGGAGTTTGGCAAGTGGAGTGTCCGTGTCCGTGTCCGTGCTGACCCCCAAATGGTTATGAGCTCGTCCACTCACCTGCAGGATCTCGTTGCAGACAAACAGACGCAGACGTGCCGACCAATCCAGGTAGGTCTCCAGGTTGCACGTCTTCTTCGGATCCTGGGCTCCTGGCGGTGCGCCCGACGTGGATGGTTGGTCCCATTTCTTCTGCATTAAAGAGGAGAGTTGCCGTTGAAATGAGGTGGGTAATGGGCAATGGAACGGCGGGGGGGCATTGTTAATGAAGCTGCTTGTCGTCATTTTAATTGCATGTCCTTGTAAGTCCTGCCTGGCATGGGTGTGTGTGTGTGTGCGTGCGATTGTTTGTGCGAGCGAGCGAGTGCTCTTTGTAGATTATGCAAAACTGCAGATTGTTCTTACGGCGAATGTTGACTTATGCAAAGGGAAACATTCGCCATGAAGCGAGCATTTAACTTGAAGAATATAATTTAATTTAGGCGGGGGAGTTTTTCTTGGGGTGTTCATTTGGGCAGAACGGCGGGGTGTAAATTGAATGTTAGCCAAGTGCGTTTAAAAAGGATTTATAGGTTGATGACTTCTGCGTTTGTAAACCTATAACTGAGCTTAACGGGGGTTCAACGAATTTTTCCAAGTTAAGATTCTTAGTGCTTCTTACCTGTTTGTCGAGCAGGATCATGCTGCTGCACTGGAGGAACTCCTCGCCGCCAACGTGTTTGGCCAACTTCTTTTCCAGCCGACAAACGATTTGTGCGTATTGCGTGGCCGTCGGACAGTTGAGTTGAGTATCTGCTGCAGACTGCTCGCAAGAGCCCACAAAAAGGCATAATGGGAAAACGAGGAAAACAAGACAATTGCCGGAGATTGGGAAGATTGTTTTTAGCCCAGTCAGTGCTGCCAAGCTAGCCAAGGATGTTTTGATAGATATAACCAGTAACTACCAGCCAATTGTACTTAATACCTTTTCCTTTTGCTTCATTAATAGTAACCGTAAACAATTTAATTTGGGATTAGTAGTTTCAAAAATGGAAGATGCTTTTACTCCTTTAAATTTACAAAAAATAAATTTTTAAAAAATTTTTTTTCTGAGTTGGCAGCACTGACCCATCTACTCGAACCATGTCCACTCACCTTGTCGTTGGTCTGGCAGGCTCTTAGGTCCGCCTCATGTCTCTCTAAATCAGTCAGTCGTTTTAGTAAGGCACTCAGTGTTTGGGAGACGGCGGCTTCCAAATGCGAATTGGAACATCTGTGCCGGATATCGAAGCAGAGTTGTTGCTGATTGGGAGCCATTTGGGCCGTGGTGCCGAGCACTTTTTCCTCACCTGACAACGATATGTTTGACATGGCTCATCATCCGTTCATCCCGGTAGTCGTAGGGGAACTTCATCGTCCACTCGGCCAGGAGGGAAACCAGGGACTCCAGGCACTCCCGTTCAGGTACCGAGTCCAGCAGTCTGCCCAGCAGTTCGTGGGGTCGCAGGAACAAGCGGGAGGATAATAAAAACGAGAATACAAATTCCTGCAATCGAAAGTGGAAACGAAACGCGATTAGTGTTAATAAGCTTAATAAAATAAAAATAGAACAACATTACTATCAACTAAAAGATTTTAAAAATTTGCCTTGAAATGAATTTAACATCTTGTAGATTTGCAGCCAGAACTATTTGATATTGGTTTCCCCTCTGTGAAGTGGTCTTTTCTGTCAAAAGAAACCACCAATTAGTCCTGTTTTTCTTGCTGGGCTTTCCCAAGTTTTCCTCGGCCGGGGGCACACCACATCAGCCCTATCAAATTAGCGCTAATCTCTGGATTTGTTTGCAACGAATTAATTATTTTTGCACTTGCTGCCTGCGGCCTCCGAGTGGTCGTCCTTGCACACAAGAATGTCCTTGCTCCCTTGGCTTCTGGTCCCCTGTTTCGGCAGCCCCTTGGGCCCGGGGTCCTTGATCCTGGCCAAAGGACTCGCCTTGTTGTCGGTTGCCCTCTGGTTTGTGGTTTTTGGCTCGTGCCAGCGAACACAACTTGGCCAATGTTCAAGTCTTAAAGTGTCTGCGACTAAGTAAGAACTTATTTGTATTCCATTTGGCGTGAACAACACGAATCGCTAGCGGGGAAAGCGGAATATTTATTTAAGTTCAGCAATCCAGTCGAAACAACTATTTCTTTAAGCGTTTTCTCTTTATCCCTCTGAAGGTTTGATTTATAATGCATTCGCTTTAAATTTGGTTTATGCGAAAGGTAACTAAAAGTTGCAATATTAAAGATTTATGCTTCTAAACTTCAGTATTTGTGCTGCATTCGTTTTATACAATTATTGTTTCACCTTATTGGTTTATTTAAAAGTGGAATATGGTCATTGCAATTTTATTTGCCATTCATTTTATTTTCATGATAATACCAAAGCAAACGCAAATACAAATCGCATATTCATATAACCGCTAGAATTTCATTCGAAATAAAATATGCATTCGACAAATGAATTTTGGTTCGTTTTGTTCAAACCCACCTTATCTAAATCCACGACGTCCTTTGGCAAAAGCGATTCGATGAGGGAGTCCAATGGCCCAGAAACTATTCTACCGTTTATGTACATAATGCCACCGGATCCCAAAACCGAGCTCTGTGAAAATATATGAAAAGGGTTAAATAATGGTTTGTTTAAAAAACGGTTGGAACCAAAAATATAAACCGAAATCAAACCAATTTACTTGGCTAATTAAATGCTGGCTGACGACAGTCAACTAAAAATTATTATTAAATTGGCAAATAGGGACCAACAGTGGCCCTTAATTACCGCATAGCTTACCTCAAAATTAATATCACATTGGCTGCGTTTGTGCGGGTTTTTGGGCACATCGTACTGGACCAAATCGTCCTGTTTTGGCCCAACCGATTTTATGGTGCCAAGCTGAAAACAGAAACCGGACAAACAAGGCCAAAAATTAATCAAATATTCCGACTTTTAATTCCTATTTGGCAAAGACTTAAATATGTGCTGTGGGTTCGTTGCAGAGAGGCCACAGACCGAAACAGTTTTGTGGCTTACATTTTATTCTTTTGGCTATCAAACTTTAGGATAAATAAAATATAATTTGACAGGTGAGTGTTGGGTTTGGCCATTGCTAAATAAAATGTTAATATTATATATATCATGGGATTTCTCTGGTTTAAACATCGTAATAGAGTTCATATTTTAATCGGGGATTTTTGTGATACAGGGACCATCGTAAATTACCTCTAATTGCTGAAACCCCATTTCCAGGTTGTAGGCACTCAGCTGCTCGGCGCTGTGTCGTCGCCTGTAGCGAATGTTGGCGCCCAGGAGCGCGGTCTCCGCCGTCAGATGTCCTGGGTCCAGGGAGAAAATTCCGCCAGTAGGAGGTGCCTCCGCTCCTCCCCGTCCCGCCGCCTCCGATGCATCCACTCCCGCTTCGAGGCAGCAGTCATCCGCAGACTCGCTGTCGGAGCTGCTGCTGCTGCCGCTAATGTGGCACCGTCGCCGGTGGTGGCGTCGGTGGTGCTGGTGGTGGTGCCGGCTGCATTTGTCGCGATCGCGCTGACCCCGCGACTTCTGCAGCACGGTCTGCTTGCAACGCGTTCCGCAGGCGATGGCTGATATCTTGCTGGCATAAAAGTACATCGCCATGTGTCACGTTCGATTCGCCGCTCGTGACGCGGTCATGTGTGTGGGTGGGGCTGCTCCGGGTGTTCGCCGGGCGGTTCTGGTGGGTGGCTGCCGCCTCTCTGGCTGTGGGTGGTGGGCGGTGGGCGGTGCGCGGACCTCCCGCACGCTTCCCCTCGCTTCGGACTTTTTAATGCATGGCCACGCAGCGGACAGGTGGCAAGTTGGCCTTCTCCATGGCCGGGCACGTGCAATCAAACGTCAATTACGAGAAGGCTTAGAAGTACTCGCAAACTGCATGGAGAGAAATTCAAAAGTTAGTTTGGAAAGACTAACAAAGGCAGGGAGATTTTATTAATAAACATCAAAATATGTAAAAATATGTTTATTTAATGCAAAATTACCTATATCATATTTATATTTTATAAAAACTTTTAGCCAATTTAAACTTTTACATAGATGGTTTCTTCTCTATTTTTTGTTAACTGTTTCAGTCTCACTGACCATCGGACTTCCGAACAGCCAACAATCCTCTGGAGCCAGATCAGCTTCCATTCCGTTTTAGCTCCCCCCAATGGTTTTTCCAATTTCAACACTCTCTATATGGCCGGCTTTGGGTTTTGCCCACGCAGGGGGCAAATCAAAAATCAAATCTGTGAAAAACTGCGACGTTTTATGGCCCACTGGCTTGCGCGGCGTCAACAAGTCAACGTTGCGGTCAATCGCAGCACATTACTCATACGCCGCGTGGCCGGGGCAGGCAAAGGGCTTAAATCACTGCGTGTGGGCCATTCCGCGTGTGTGTGCGAGAGAGTGTGTGTGTGTGGGTTAGGTTATGGTTAGGGTTATTATCCCTTTGGGGCCACTTGGTACTCATCAGGCCATAGACATGTGCGCATCATCAATAAGGGCGTAACCATGGAGGGCAGGAGATTGGCCATCAGCCGGGTCGATGGCAGTCATTAAATCACTGCAGATGCGTTGAGGCACACAGCACAGAAAAAAAATCACAGCTGATGTATGGACTGGTTCAAGGTTATCAATGAATAATTATTTTTCCGGGCTTCTTAGAAAAGTAAAGTGAGAAAATAAGGGGGAGAAACTTGTTTGCTACTCAATAATTTAAAGAGCTTCCCTGCTAAATGCCTTATTACAAAATGAACCACTTGTATAAATCAGATAAACTTAAGAAGCTCTTCGTAATTAAAATTTTACATAAAAGTGCAACATAATGCTTTTCTCGTAAGCAGCACAAGAGAAAGTAACATATAAGAACCTTTTAAAAAGGAATCGCATTAAAAGCGGATTTTAAAAGGAATAATACCAACAGGCCGAGAACTTCGCTCCCATATTATAAAAAACACATCCGCGGTATTTTCTCCCGCCTCGAGAAGATGGAAATCGAAAGACGGAGGCAGTTGGCTTTAATGGAGATTAACCACGCACAAAAGATAACGAGGCCAGGGCCGAAAACGTGTATGGATGGAATCTACATATCATATTAAATATGCAGACACATGAATCGGAAGAAAAAGACTTTCTGGGCTGAAAAGAAATTCACACGCAGGAAGTGCTTCTTGGCACCTGACCAGCTGAATATGGAGATGAGCGAGGAAATTCGATTTCTATTAAGTTAATGCTGGCCCGGTTATTGGGGTCGTCTTTTGTCAGTCATGCGAAGATTTCCCGGAAAAATCAATGAAATTGACGCCAATTCCCGACCCGAATCGAGTGCTTCTTTGATCCACTCTAGATTCATTTACCCTGACATCCTCAGCCGCAAATGTGGCGTCAGTCGCAAATTGCCAATTAAGGCCACATGCTCCTGTCTGCGTTTATTTTGATGCAAGATTTTTATTTTTGTTCCGTGTGATTTGTTCATTACGCAAGCCATGCATAATAAATCGTTTGGCGTACAATCTGCAGTTCACTTTTGGCAACAGAAAGGGATTACGGGCTTAGCTATTCAAATAAAATGTATCTCTGGTGAGTTTGCAAATGAATCGATAGACGAATTTGCAGCTTAGCAAATTGAATCAATTTTTTGTTTAAATGGATCAAAAGATAATTCCTCTAAAGAATATGGCCAAACAGATGTTGTAGATGTTGACCAGGTTGTTCTTACTCCTCTAAGGAGAAAAACTTGCAAAGCTGCATAAGCCAGTTAACAGTGGTAAAATGACAATTGTACAGGAAATGTGAAAACCACTGGGTGCCAAAGGAAAAAGCTCACAAAAATGGACAAATATGTGAAAACATATAAAGATGGGCTGCCTTTTTTTGCATACAGTGGTGTTCAATTTTATAGTACTAACCAATGGGAATTGTGAAGCTACATTGGTATTGAAAGAAATTGGCAAAAACTTGGGAAAATCTGACATGAACAGGGGTCGAAAGTTCGAACCTCGGATAATGGAAATTTTTGAATGCAGTTGTATCAAGGATGCGATTACAAATATTTAGAGGTAAGCCTCTTTGGAGTAGGACTAAAATTGGCAAAGTTAAGGGCTGTGGACCACGAGAATTATTTCTCCTGTCGGCAAAAAATCGGAAAACTTTGAAAAATCTAACATGAATTCATTTCCTTTCATAAATTATTTTGTCAGCTTCAGCTCTATTTATCGGGCCACATTTGTCAGTGCGTATTTACATTTCGGGCAGCAGAATATTACCATGCTCAAGTGAGCGTAACAAAGGCGGAACACACAAAACTTATGATATATACTCGGCCCAAAACTTGTACACACTCAACTACAAGTCGGCCGGGCAGAGCCGCCCATCGCCAAGGATATAGACAAAGAATGGAAATGAATAAATCTTTCTGCCGTTTTTGTTGGTCCGGAGTCCGGACAGAAGCTTATTATAATTCCAATCATGTCGTCAGACTGCAGGCTCGACTCTATGCAGAAGGTTGGCAAATGAAATATTTTCAATTTTAATATCGACAACGTTGGATTTCTCCCTTTTTGGCCAAGTAACCCGGCAACAACAGTCGAGTGCGAGGGCTTGGGGATTCAGGGAAACAGATTGAGAGAATAACGAAAAAATATCAATATGGCTGACACATTTTATTTCGATTCAATGCCCATTACCAAACGCCTTGTCTACACTTTTCCGCTCAAGAGCACAGAAATAAAGCGAGATATATGCGCAGAAAAAATCAATCAATTATATTAAGCACAATAGAGTTGTTCCACGAAGGTCGGATATTGATTGTGAAAAACTTGGGACCTCCCAAATAAATATTATGCGGGGCTTGAGAGCGGACTTCATTCTCCATCGGCACCCGCAATAAATCTTGTTAAAACTGTTTCCTTACAACTTTTTTCCCAGTTTGTTGAAGTCTGGAATTCATTTGCCAACCCAGAAGTTAATATATTCATTGCATTTTAATAGTTACATTGCGGTAATGCCGAGGATAAAGGAATTTCAATTATCTGTATAAAACACATTATACATAATAAGATGGCTTATGTAAAACGAATCGTTAGCGAATTAGAACTTGGTCAGAAAACTTAGCAATCCTGTAGACACCACAACATATCCTTTGGCAAAGAGTAATTATCACAGATTTAACCATAATTTTCCTTGGCTTGCGCTGCGGCATGACCGCAAAAATGCTTATTGCTTACACTTGTTCCTGGTCTCCGGACAGGCTTAATTATAAATAATATAATTAAGGCAGAATGCAGCTGCTGGTGGCATCCAGGGGTTTTCGTTGGCAGATAAATTGGTTTGTGGTCGAGTGAGCTCGCCAGTCAGAGGAATTCGCCCCTGTATTTAATATTAAACGGGAGTTTGTCTGCTAAATATTATCGAATATCTGCAGCTGGGATGGAATGCTTTGCATATTTTTACGCCAATCTCAACTTTGGCTAGAGTCCAAACAAGACTCGGTTTTGGCCCTCGTCCTCGGCGCTTTCGTTCCCCAAGGAGCAGCTGCTGCAAGTGTCCTCGAATCTATTAGCATAAAACTGATAAAAATAAACTGATGTCGTTGTCGTTGTCGCCGTTGTCAACAAGCAGCGGTGGCAGTGCAAACAAACAACAACAATCAGCTAACAAGAAACTGGCAACAAATTTGCGCTGCTTTTGGCTAAGCACTTTCGGCCAAGAAAGACAACCGCAGAGTGGTGTAAAATCGAGGAGCGACTATTTCCAGCGCTTTTGCATTTTTAGAGCTTCATTTTGGACAAGTTATGTTGGCTTTGATTAAAGTTTTCTTTTGTTTATAATACGAAGTATAAGATATTGTTTTGAATTTTACTATTCTGAGGTTTCCCAGGCAAAGCTTTAATTTTGATTAATGCTGTTACAATTTGTAGTTTGTATCATAAATTTTTCATTGGAATAACACAATTAAATATGCTTGGTTTCTCTATAGGATTATGTATTAAAAACGTTATAAAACACGGTTTGTTATTTGATTTATTTAAATACTTAACTAGTTTCGCTCTGGCTTTTAAATTGATTAAATGTTTTTCCGCTTTCCATTAGCGTTTCAATTGATCGGCTTGTAGTTTTGTTTACTTTCACTTTGCTCGCTTTGTTTTTTGCAGTTGGCTCACATTGCTTTTTATATAGCCCGGGATTTAAAATCAATTATGCTTTGTATTTTTTGCCTTCTTGTTATTATTTATTGGCAAATGCTTTTTGCATAACCGAGGGCAGCAATAAAATATCCCATGATTTCTCATATTTATCACTTTATTGCATGGGCCACGATATGGGAATTTCCTATTAAATGCTTTCGTAGTCATTTATCTATTTACTTAAAACATTTGATTTGTAATGATAGTTTTTCATTAGTGAAGCATGAGCTCGTAAAAAATTGATTTCAATAGGCTTATGAACGTGTAGGATTAAGAGATTTAATCACACGTATTTGTTTAACACTTGACAAGTGACATGAATATATTTGTAAAAAGTAACTTACTTTGTATCAAAAGTAACTTTTTATATATTTGCATTTTATTTGACAAGGAATTTCAAGTATAATATATGTATTATACATTTATTTGCATTGGTTATAATTTGTCCGGGGTGAGATACCAACAAAGTAGACCATAGTGCACGAAAAAGCTTTTTAATAAGCTTATGGGATTTAATTAATTCAGTTTAATTACCACTTGAAATGGCTCACAACGTTAAGCGAGTAAAAATTAATTTTTTTTTTTGGTAAATTAAATACGAGTTATTATGACGATTTTTAAACATCAAAACTTTGATTCCTTCTGTTAGAAAACAGCTATAATGTTTCTCACTTCAGCCAAATTTGGTTAGAGGACGTACAGTATTTTCGTTAGATTTAATTAGCATTTTTCACGCTTTTGTCTTTGCTCTGAAACGTGCGCTAATAAAAGTCGCTTTCAAATTACATTGACATTGTCTCTGGGCTTGTTAACTTAACGCCATTTGTAAGGTTTTAACGAAGGCAAAGTTAAAAAAGCACTTTTCACTTGATTTTCCCTCCACCACTCCCCCACAGTCTTCAACTCGACTGACAACTTTTCCGCCTGGCCGGCGATTTTCACTAGGAAGAGCTAAAAAGTAAAAAACCTCTAAGCGAAAAATGAAATAAAAAGGCGGCAGGAAAACTGTCAACGGCATGACTCTGTGTGTCATAAAAGCGGCGCAAGAGGAAAACCGAAATTAAATTACTTTGACTTTCGATGTTGGACCATAAAAAAATGCATTTAGGTCAGCGCCCCAAATTGTGAGAGAACCCAGATCCTAGGAAGGATGCCCAAAATTAATGCAATGCCAGCGACAAGAAGCCGTGTTTAATGACTTTGGAATTGTTTTATCAGACAATTTATTACAATCACCGCATCGAGCAGGCAACCGCAATAAACCTAAGCTATGCAAATTATTCCCGCTTTTTTGATTTTTTATCTGCTCCTCACATTTTTATGTCAGCTGTAAAACCAGCGCAAAAAGTCAAGGAAATCGGCTCAAAGTCTGAAAGTATTCGGGCATCATCATCAATCTTTTTCGGCAAAATCTTGGCAACTGCACTGGCGAGACAATTGACAAATTGACGATGGGGTTTTCCGTTGGATTTTGCGCTGGCATTTCCTTCGTGATGTGTTTATGCAAATGCATCGGAGAAAGGGTGGAAAAGCAGGAAAGTTTGTTTTAATGGAAGGTGGTAAGATTGATTCAATTTAAATCAATGTAATTTATGGGAACAAACTTATAAGCAATTAAAAGTATGAAGTTTAACTGGTCTTTAAATTTTCACAACGATCGTTAAGCTCTCGTCCTGCCAAGATTTAATTACAGGATGTGTGCGCTCGGATGTGTGTCAGATATTTCATCAATTAATGATTCCCCATTACACGATTGCAGTTGAACTCGAGGATTACTCGGCAGTTCCGCTCGATCCATTAATCGAAAATGCATTATTGTTAAACAGGCATAAGTAAATGGCGGCCGCTGCGATGTTCGAGTGCGGAAATGAACAGTTTAAGCCAACTGCAATGGCAGGCGCAAACGGGTTAATAAAGGGCCCAGCCAGGCCGAGAGCGGTAAACAAACAGTTGGGAAATGTGGCAGTGGCTGTTGTATGTTATTTGGCGCCCAATGAGGCACCCGACATTATCGACATTACCGGTTAACGGTAACGGTTACGGGAACGCATAAATTATGCATCCTTTTTCGATGGCTGAGGGGCGGGCAGTGCTGCGTTTGCGAATTCGTCCTTTTTATCGCATGAATTTCAAGCGAGTGCGAGTGGAATGTTTTCCCATTTTCCCATTTGTGCCAAAGTGCGAGTGCGAGGCTGAAATTACAAGTTAATCGAACGTTGCATACTTACTGGCGCAGTCAGTCGCCTGGAACCATATGCGATATTACTTATTTATGCCCGCGCCGAAGAACACTTTCAGCAATTTAAATTCATATTTATTGATTTTTTGTTAAGAAATCGCTGCTCCGGTTGCCTCGATAAATGCGAACAGCCTTGATTAGGAATGCGAGCATTGGGTGTGGTATTAGCGGGCAGATTTTCGTTTCATTGAAAACACATGGAGGGAACTGTTGAGGATTCGTTAATTTTCCATATTACTTAGTGATTTGTGTGATTTTCGCTTAAATATATTTAGATCTCGTCCACTCTCACTATCTTACTATTTGTACACTTTTCAATATTTGTTTCTATATTCGACACGCTTATCCTTTTTTTAAATATTTTTTTTATTTTTTAGATTCTTTTTTAATAATTAGCCGCTTGTATCTTTCCGTTTCCTGAACCGCACACTTACAGAATCCACGACGAACTGAAGTGATGGACCGACTTCGGCATTCATGTTAAGCGAGGTTCGACTGTTTTGGGCTCAGTTTAACAGAGCTCTGAATAAGTTTGGAAAAGGGAAATTTCTGTAGACCAAACCTTGTTTCAATCGAACATGTTGCAAGTCCTTAGAAGAATTAAGCTGCTGGGTTTCTGTGGAACTAACACAACTTCCACGCTTTTAAAAAAAAGCCAACAACGAATTTATTATGAAGGAGTTATGAACTAAACTTACCGGCCAACAAAGAAGTAGTACTGAAGAAGTTAAATAATATTAAATTGTTATAAAGCTATGAAGGGTTTTGCTGGACTGCTTGCTGTTTTTTTTATTTATTTAAATATATGCAGCTTTTACAGATTAGAAGGTCACTCATTTTAAAGCCTGTTGTGCAACTTAATAGTCCTGTCTGCAGTATGGGAAAAAACTCAGCAACATTCCGGAGCTGAAGTGCCACCTGTCAGTGGTTGAACCCCTTGCCCCTTGGCCACGTTATCCGGCGCAACAAATTGCTTGTCATGTTAACAGCGCCCCGCCATCGCGTGGCTTTAATTAGCCGGGCTCATATGTTGGGCGACACCTAGAAGAAGGCCAAACAAATGGGAGCTCATCTGGCTGATGCGTGGATGCGTGGGTGGCCGGCCACGCCCCCTGCAAATTACCCCCTAGTTTATCTTGGAGACCGGAATGTCCCATGGTAACTGATATCTTTGTTTACTCAGCTGGGTTGTCAAATGTCTGGCGATGGCTTTTCGCCTTTGTTTGCTCCTTTTCTGGCTGTGAAAAATACTTATGGTTGTGGGCGTATGCCAAGCTGGATGTCTGGCCACCCGGGGCGCTGAAAAATCTATATTTAAATGCGAAAATATCGTCTAGGCTGAACCAAAAGTTCACACAACAAATTAGTGAAATCAATTTGAAAATTTCATTGAGTTTTCTAACTTTTCCTGGGGTCAGCAGCATTTAAGGCTCACAGGCACACCTCGGCCCTTGGCCAGAAATTTTTGAGGTCACTGCGAGTTTTGATGCCGGGCTAACTTTCGACGCAAAGGCGAAAGTTTTAAGTAGTGGCTTAAATTTTGTATTTTGTATTTCTACCAAATATTCGCTCTGGCCTCTCGGACTTTCTCGGCCCGTTTGGCAAGTTTAAATGTTTGCTGGGAATTTTAATTCATTTATAAAATATGCTCGGCCCACTCGGCTGCCGTGTGGATTAAGTGCAGTCGCTCGGTCGACTCTTAAATTAATGAAATTCTGTGTGTTTCAAGTGTAAGTTAGCCGCAGGCTTTTTGTCTCTGCACCAATTAGCCAGCTGCACGGAACAGCTGCAAACTGCATATATGTTGGCTAAACCTTGGCCAGTTTGGATAAAGACTACTTTTGCAGAAAAAAAAAATGGGCCATGTGGTTGGGTTTATTATTTAGGACTTGGTTGTGGAAAGTCAGTCGCAACAAGTTTATTGAAAGTTTACTTTTCAGTTAGGTCAAGGAAGAGTGTTCCTTTAGTTTATCTATTAGTTCTTTCACTGAAAGCTATGTAAGTACTTATTTAATTAAGAGTTTTTTGTACCATCTACTGCTTTAAATCACCCGAATTTGTTTCACATTTCTCCTTTCATTTCAGCCAGTATCTCAGTCAAGGGACTGCAATCAGTTGGCTCGGTTACTTCAATTGCCAATCTATTGTCTAAACTAATGTTTGCTCTCTTGCGGCCAACGATACGTGCTCTGAGCCCCCGAAGAATTTACTTTCGGCAAAGTTTTCCCTCCATTCTTGGCCCGGTCAAATGTTGAATGTTTTCGTTGGGGAACTTTTTAAATGCTTTCACGATACTTGGCAGTGTTTTGCGGCTACCTGTGTTACCTCTGGCCAAATCAAAGTGCGCAACTTTACTTACTTTCCTTACTTTTCTTCCTGCGGTCGCTTGGCAACATCTTGTCTGGAATTTATGCTCCTTACACTTGTTATCCATGCGAAGACAAATCGATGAATGGTGCACGTGGCCAAAAGAAAAAATCATTTTATAAATAATTAAAAGCTTAACAAATTGGAATGACACAAATATTTTGATATTCAGTTATAAATGTTTCAAGAATTTGTTGAGTATTTTCCTATTTATTTTTATGGGAAAGTTCTCTGACTTTTCCTTTCAGTGATGCATTTTCGTGGTGATCCATAATTTATTGAATTTGAACTTGCGAGGCAGCGTTAATTTATTTGCCAGCTGGAGGAGCGATTTCTGTTTACCTCGGGCACTCCGAAGTGCATTCGCCTGAGGACTTGGACTTGCACTTGGACCTGGCTTGGCTGGGAGGGTTTCCGGGGGTTCTGGGGGAGGGTAGATGGTGTCTAAGCCTTTGCAATGACATGTCAGTTGGTTGGCTCGGATAGCGGGATTACCGACACATGCAAATTGGAGTTGTTGGACGGACTGCGAGGAGCGAGGAGCGGGCGGTCGGCGTCTAATCCAATTTCAATTGCTTAATCCACCATGACTGACACTAAGAGCCAAGTTGAAAGATGGTCGAGTGGGCGGTGGATCGGTGGTTGGTGGATTGGTGGGTTGGTGGGTCGGTGGGTCGGTGGGTCGGTGGCGTGTTTGGGCCCCACATCTTCACGCACCACAGCACTTCAAATACTTGAGCTGCTATTGAATTACGCACCCACACATGTCAACATATCATGTTACACTTCACTTTGTGTGTTCGCTAAGTAAGTTGTAGTTCGACGGCCCAGAAACGGAAACGGAAACAGAGACGCTGTTCCCCCCTCACTTCCTCCTGCCCCCAAATGCTTCGACTCACATAAAATCACAATGTTGACCCTTTTATTTCGACTGGAAGTTTTATAACCAAGAGAATCCACACACACTTACCCACACACACACACGAAATAAAGCAGCTCAAGCTGTGTTTGCTTAAGTTTTATGTGTGCACAGATTTTACGACCGGGCTGGAACAGCATCACGTAGCTGAAGGCCCGGCTTAGTGGCCCCTGACCTCTGCTCGGGTCACTCGGCAATGGGATGCATTTTAAATGGGAGAAGTACGCCCGAGAAATCCGGCGGAAAAGCACCCACAAAACCAAAATCCACCTGTCAGGTTGCGAAGCGAAATAAAGCAAACCTTTGTATGAAATTCATTAAAAGTCATTTGATGGATAATTGTTTTTTAATACTCTTCGGGAGGGGTTACTTATATTTTGAGAGCATTTTTTTTATAGATTTAAATAATATTATTAAATGTGATAAGATGTACCTCAGTTATTACAAATAATTAATTTTAAACCCTTCAAATCAATGGTTAAATGTATGTATTTCAAACATTTATCCTTTTCAAAAGAGCATTTTGGGCAGTAAATTGCAATTGATTTTTCCGCTTCCCTTCATTTTTGTTTGTCTTTAATAAAGGATTTTCGTGAAGCCTGTCGGCAGAAGCACAATGCGGTTTAATTAGTGCCATTCGCAGGGCGATTCCACCGAAACGCAGAACTGCACTTGGCGAGTGGTCAGCGGTGTGACAGCCGCAATAAAAAGCAGATGAATTTACAACTTGAGCGGAATCGGAATCGGACTGGAAACACGTTTTCAATTAGCAACACTTGCCGCGGACCCGGCGAAGGCTAATAATGAGTTGACAAATGGCTTGTGTCAAACAAAAGCAGCGCGGAATAAGCAAACAAACAAACCAACCAACCAACGAGACAGACAGACCGACAGACAGACAAACAGACAGACGGAACACGTCTTGTTGCTGTGGTGCGTGACTTTGTGTGGATGTAGGCAATTCCCCACCCCACCCCACAACCACCTACCATCTACCACCCACCACCCACTTAGCTGTCAACTTTGGTGTTGGCGTTGGCCCACCAACTCACTTCCAGCCAAACAGAAACAGAATTGTCAACTTACAAGGCTTGGTGGCCAAAGTGTCGCGTAATTTATTTTCCACCTCTCGCCGACTGACAAATGAGCTGATAATTTTCCCCGTATCCTGCCGCATTGTCAAGGACATAGAGGGGGTGGCAAGTGGGTGGGCTGAGAAGGAGCAGCTAATTCATGGCCTCGGCATTGCCTAGTCATTGGAAGGCTTTGTCTAGCTGTTGACAGCAGAAATTAATTTGTGTTTACTTGGCTCTTTGACACTCGTGAGTTATTGATGTACAATGCGGAGTATCGCAGATGCAATTGGATGGATTAACACAGGAACGGTGTCGAGATCGATCTTCATTACTGGTTTACAGTTGAGTTTAACTAATTTTGAATTAAAGATAGAAGTTAGGTACTTCAAGCAAGAAAGCCACCAAGAATTTGTCGTAATCATGTGCTTTCAGGGAAGGCAAAACTTTTAAATGAATATTAATGACTAAATTACACACTCGTACTAAGTCCACAGCCCTCGAAACCCAGATGATGCTTCGGTTAATGCCTGGCACTCCAATCTCAAGTCACGAGACGTAGGCCATATAAGCAGACATGAGCATATATGTATCGACTTACATCCTCGGAGTTGTAAAAACTTTTTTCGGCTTGTAACTTAATGACAACTCGCAGGCAAATATATGAACAGTACGTTACAGGAATAAAAGTCAGGGTGACAACCTTAACGAAAGATATATATGAATATTAAAATATCTTTATGGTTCTTGGTATTCTCAAATATATTATCCATTTATATAAATAAATATATAAATATATATAAATTTAAATTACTATTTCTTCACTTTAAAGCCATGACACGCACTGTTTGGCTGGCATATTTGTATGTACCGCGCTGCAATTTGACTTTAATGCATTTTTAATTTCTGCATGCGTGTGCCTCGGCCTGCAACTGTATATGTGTGTGTGTGCCGCCCTATATGTACATGCGGTGCATGTGTGTGCGTTTGTATGTAAATAGAAAATGAAATTACCGATGCGCTACTTTGTAGCCTCCTCCATTTTCCGGCGGCGGGCATTTTCCGAGAAGGCTGAG